CTTTGAAGGCCGGAACGGTACACGAAGGGGTGGGTGGCCAGCACCACGCCCGACCGCCTTTGTCTCCCTAGTGGCAATGTTTACACACCGCACCAGATACTCATTTTAGGCTGAGTCGACCTAGGGGAGGCCCGGGACCGGTTCAGATAATCGTCACTGGTGTTGGCCGTGAGCGGGAATCGAACCCGGGTCGCCAGGTTCATAGCGCAGCGCGCTAACCGTTACACTACCGCTCCCCACATCCTGAACACACACACACACACACAACTCCCTCTCTCTTAAATTTTAACTCTCTCTTTCCTTTCATTCCTCGCTCAGCGAAACCCACAAAAAACACGACACGAAGTTTTTATTTTTTTATGACAGTGGGCTGAACGAACGCCCAATGACACCAGCATGTCAAGCGGCCAGCATCTAAGAGCGCTGCTGCAGTTGTGGAAGTTAATGTTTTCTCGCGTCGAGCGAGGTGAACAGAACTTGGGGCGGAGGGGAGGGGGATGCGAGTGGAGGGAATTTTCGAGTCGAGCGGTGCGAGGGAAGACTCAGAAAGGGTCCACGTGACCTGCAGGTGGAAGTTGAACAGTGGCGTGGGATGAGGGGGAAGAGACGAAATATTCCGTCGGCAAAGTCCTCGAAGCAAACGAGTTTACATTCGATGGAATGATCAACGATGGTGGTTAGAGATAGACGAGTGATGAGGAAGCGACTAACTGCTGGTGCACCTCCTCGGGGAGATGTATGATCCTATGGACAAACTACCAGACTCGGGAGGCTAAACCCATAAATAATTTCAAACGTAAAAAAAAAACACCGAAACGTGTTGGTAGCGGTGTAGTCACAAATATCCGAAACAAATTCCCACGTGTATTATTATTATTATTCACGCTGTCGTACTACAGCACACGACTTAAGAAACCTGCGGACGTGTCAGGAGAAGTCACATTTTCAAAGTAAAAAGCAGCGAGATATTATGCAACCCGCAACCAACAGGTCAATCTCAGCTCTCTCGAACCAAAGAACGGCCACAAGCAGTAACCTTCGTATGTGGCTGTAAGTGTGCACCAATTAAGGAACTTGATGGCTCAAAGCTGGTATGGAAACGTCCGAAAAGGATTGGACCATATCGTGTGACCGACCAATATGCAAAGAGGAACTTTAACTCTGCGAGAATAAAAGAACACTTTCGTGGGTCGTATTTACACAATTAGCTTCAATCACACTCAACTTGATCTGACTTTAAAATATCTGGAAATTCCAGCCGAACCATTCAGCTTGCGACCATTAATTCGGGTAATGTACTGCCCATTTGTATTACCGTAATTTTGATCAGCAGCTAAGTCTAATTACCATTGTGCCACCTCCAAAACCATTTCCGTACTATTAATTACCCTATCACTCGGGTAATTATACCCTCCAAGAAAGTAAGACGCGTCTCGAACGTGTGCCCAGTTTCAAACTTGGTCACGCACGCACTCAACTTTCGTTCAAGGAAGAAAAGTGTGCTGCTTATAATCCAGATACGGCATTGTGTGTATGCTCAACGTCTTTCGCACCGTATGTAGCAAACGATGCTAATCAGAAGTGCGGGGGGAAGGACAAACTAAACGTTGCCGATATTACCAACACCTACCAGCTTGACAATAGGTTGGTGTTTCAACAAGATAGTACGGCCACGAATATGTACGTTAGCCTATCGAGGCAGGCTCACCTCATATGCGCGGAGTATAAACTACCTCTCGATCAACGCAGCCTACAAACGAGTAACCGTACTTGCTGCGGCGTGGTCAACATCGGCAAACTGCGAGATGAGGGCGAGCGGGCTGGCGAGCTTGGCGAGTTTCTGGCCAAACCGCCCCCTTGGAGTCGCGTGTGCTGCTCGCGAACTGCACTCAAGGTCTACCACACACACAGGGGTGTGACGTTCCCTTTGTGCCGCGTGCCGGACAGGGCTCCGCGTGGCTACACCGTGGAGAGGGGAATCGCCGCGGACTCCGGCGCAGAGCGAGGCGATGGGGCCGACATTCTCTTTGACGTCTCCACGTTCAAGGCAAAGCAGCAGGTGCGGTTGGATTCACGACGGCTGCTCGTAGTCTGTGGGCCCAGACCAAGATAGTGCACTTGTTGGTACCACCTAAGCTGGCAACACTTCAGAGGAACGAATATATTTGACGACGACAGCTAAGAGCCCACCGAGCTATGAGCTCTGATTCTAGAGGCTACCTGGCCATGCATGATGACAACTCATCGAAATGGCGTATATCACCATCCACACGTGGGAATTTATAGTAGCAGACGCATAATCCGAACACGTTCCTAAACGTGGAGGGTACAACCGGAGGAGCCCGAGATGTCCACGCGACCACGGGGATAACTTTAAAACTCCAAATATACAGGCGACATCAAATCCGGGACCTCCTGCGTACCAGGCGAGGGGGATAACATCTTCGCCACTGCGGTGCCCTAATAACAAGTGACTCATGCAATAACCTTACTTAATAGGTATGTAAATCACATAATCCACGAACACACAAGCCACGTACATAAACTGGTATCACGGAATATAGTAGTTAATACGTCCATTAATATAGGGTTTTTTATGGGGGGGGGTTATATCGCGTAAATATAAATGTGTCGTTAAACCCGCCACCACCCGACACAGCCAATTGGACAAACCTTACTAATTGCCTGTATCGGGTGGTGTCGGGTTTCACGACACTTATATTTATGTGCTCTAACCCAAAACACCTCTAGTATGTATGATATTGGTCGCGAAATCCTACGTATTTAATACGTCCAGCGGTGTCACATTTAGCTCTGGCCCATGGGCTTCAATGATCGCGTTGCAATACAGCACTGCGTGAGCTGGTGTGTTGCTGTTGTACTTTATTTCTATTTGACCAGGTGCGGCCCACTGAGCTACATAGCTCTTCTTCAGAAGAGACCTGCTCACAAACGATAGCTCAACGAAGCGGCGTATGATGTACAGATGTATCGCGGTCAAACAGTCTCAACGCAATTTTCTAACATGTGGCAGGGAAATCCCTGAGAAAAAAAATAATCACGTGACCACAGGGAAACCATGCAAACTCCACGGCCTCATGTATACCAGGCGAGGTAGTTAACATCTCGGCCAGGTAGTTAACGTCTCGTGTTAGTGTTCTTGTCGTTGGGCACTTGGTGGTGCTTGGGTGTGGTGCGGGAAGTCGAGTGTTGTTGTTGTGGAGACTCTAGACTCTAGAGTCTAGATGCTAAGGAGTCTCTCTGCTGCGAACGAGCAATCGGACAGCACTCCTTTGCTGTTGACAGCCCTTGGCCAGGAGTGGAAATTCCACACTCTCGTAGCAGGGGCCAGGTCAGTCGATGGAAATGCCACTGTTAGTTTCCCACAACTTCATATTTCATATTCTTAGTTCTTTCGGTAAAATCACGTTGAAGGGAAACAATAAAATAATAATATATATATATAAAACAATAAAAAATTCTCACGACGTTTCGACCATAACACAAACGGTCGTCATCAGGTGTGTCGGTTTGCATGATGACGACCGTTTGTGTTATGCGTCGAAACGTCGTGAGAATTTTTATTGTTTTATATATATTTTATTATTTTATTGTTTCCCTTCAACGTGACTTTACCGAAAGAACTAAGAATATGAATTACTGCAGTCACGAAAGCTTTAAATCAAATTTAACTTCATATTTGTTCTTGGCTTGTAATTTACTGTTGTGGGCGCCATACGTTGTCGCTGCTGTTGGAGTTGTACTATTGGTGTAGTTGCTGCTATTGTTTGTTGCCGCTGCTGTGATTTGTTTGTTGTAGTATACAGGTGTATGAAAAAGGCGGACCCAATTTCAAAGCAGTATATTTCACAATGGCAACATGTTACAATTACACAAAAAGTTACAAACGGTTTAATGAGTATCAAGTTTTACTAACCATTTTTTAAATGCTCTATGTGCCCTCCACCTGCTGTACGGAATTCGTCCCAAACGTCTCTCAAAGTGTCTTCTTCCACTGAAGTCACCGCTGCTTTGATTCTGTATTTGTGGTCATCCAGATTAGTCGCTAATGGTGGCACAAAAACTCTGTCTTTGACGTATCCCCACAAGAAAAAGTCGCAGTGTGGTGATGTCTGGTGATCTTGGGGGCCGAGAGTGTAGCGCCCAGTCTTGGGGTCCCGTGCGACCTATCCAACGTTGAGGCAGTGTTGTCTAGCGAATGACTGAGGCTAGGGGCTGTTTGTGCGCTGGGACAGGCATCGATCGGTAATCGTTTGAAACTCTATGCCCCGCCCTCTCTATGCCCCGCCCTCTATATGCCCCGCCCTCTCCGTGCCCCGCCCTTTCAAGTGGTAAGAGTTTCATTCATGGGCGGTTCGTGGTTGCAGATATATAATAGCGATTTCAAATCGGGTCCATCTTTTTAAACACCCTGTATTGAAGCCGCTGTTGTAGATTTAGTTGATGTCCATGGTTACTATTGTTGTTGAAGTTGCTGTTGTCATTTCCATTGTAGACAGTGTCACTGCATTTGTAAATGTTCATGTCGATGCCATTGTCTTTGACGTTGCTGTGGTCATTGTTGTCGTCATAAACGACGTCATTATCAATACCCCATGAAGTTTGTTTTTGGTTATATCGCGTAAATACAAAAGCGTCTTTAAATCCGCCAAAGTCAATGAGCAAGGTTTGTCACGAAAACGCAAACGTGCCAATTAGTTACCGCCTCAGCACACCGCTGTTTTTCGGAGAGTTCAACCCACAACGGCATTTAAAATCCCGAGCACGACAAACAAACACTAAAACACCGCCCACGTGTTGGAAACGGAATTATCAAAATGTCGTCGACGCTTGCCCTTGCGATCGTTCCCCTTTGCGGTGGCCCTGTTCATTTCCCTTTGTTTGTCGCAGGCCGCGCTGCTGCCGCGCCGCGCTCGCCGCCTGCTCGCCGAGCCGCGCCACGGCGGGCGCACGGACCGCGACGTCCGCCTCCTTGTGTGGGCCCTGCGCCCCGTGCCCGCCCTGCGCAGCCTCTCGGGCGCCCAGCAGCGCACGTGGCGCGCGCCGCGTGGCTCGCGCGGTCAGTGTGTGCGCGTGGACCGTGCGTGGTGCACGCGTGTGCGTTCATGCGCGTGTGGTGCGTGGTGCACGCGTCGTGTGCGCGTGACCGTGTGTGTGTGCGTTGTGACCGTGCGTTCATGCGCGTGCGGTGCGCGCACGGCCCGGGTACGGTGCGCCGCCTGGCTCGTGCGGTCGTTTGCGGCAAAGTCGCTTCTGAAAAAATATTAAAAAAAAAAAACGAAAAAATACAACACCACGTTCGTCAATAACGCCTTAAAAAAGGAAAATATGTATCACGCACAATTTTTTTAGGCAATCACCAATCTATATGTGTGCTCTGAAGTGTCACTGCCCGAAACGTCACCTATTGTATATATATTTTTTTCCTCTTAATGCCACAATGTTATTGCCGAATGTGTTTAGTTCTTTTAAAAATGGGCTACATGGAGATATTTTCCGGAGCTCAGCCCTAGTTTAAATTAATCACTGACCATTTTATTTCGACAATTTAAACCATGCCCCCAAAGTGTATAAAGCGGGTTCCCACGGTGTCAAAGGTAAGCCGTCCCCATATATGAGCTCCTGAAGGCATAAGACAGGACCGAATGTTGATGACTATACTGTGCTTAAGAGTTTCAATACGAAAACTCATCCACAGGTTTTGTTTCTCTGTTTTAGTGCCACCTGATGGGATGGCCACATTTCCAGGGTGTTGAGCTGGTGATCTAGACCAGGCTGAGAACCTTGGACATCCAAATTGGTGGTCACATGACATGCATGCAAGGCATGTTGGGAGATGTGCCTCCCTGCTCTTTGCGTGTTGTTATTTACATTTGTTTCTAATCCACACGCACTTACCTGTTGCGATTGGGTTTCGCATAATTTACAGATAGCGCTGGATATCAATGAGAGTGCCTCTCCCATTTATATAAATGGCACCTGTCATGGGAATGTGGAATTTCCTCCACTGGCTCGAGGTTGTCATTGGAGATGAGCCTTCAGCAGTGTAGATGTTATATACTTTTTTGTTCCCCCAAAGTCCTGGATTTGGGTGTCTTTCAAGATGCCAATGCCCAATATCAATGTACTTAGCCAGCAACTCTAATGTCCTGAGTTCAATCCTCGGGTCTGGATGTCTGGTGTGCTGTTTCGTTTACAAAAAATCAGGTACCCATCCAAGCGAGTTCTGGTGCAACAAGGACAGATGCCACAAATATTCTACATTTGCCTCTCTGGATCAGGTAAGCAATGGCGTATATTGAAGAGTATTTCGACATGATTGAGCCAGCAAAGCCTCACCGAAACTTAAGACTCATTGTCCAGGAGGGTCGTACTTAAGATGTTTGGTCAGTGTTAAGTTGGCAGAGGGGGAAAAAATACTGACGCTGTACAGTTTTGACAACCTACTTGTCCCACTGCCTTTTCACGGTGAAAATAAACACTGCATTCATAGACTCGAGCACAGCAATAAACGGCAGTGCTCAATCCTTTTCCAGAAGCCCCTCTAGCCCCCTCCGCCCAGCCCCATTCGCGACAAAATTGTAGCCGTGCCACTACCACTCACTTGTTTCCTGTTGAAAATGTGTCGCTTGCAACAGTTCAGTGACGTGAGCGGCGCACGTTCAGAATGCACCCCGCACGTTGTCCATGGCACAGACCGTCCTTCATTCCCTTGGGGGGTGGTGGGACCACTTGGGTTGAGGACGCTATGCTGAAGCGTCTATTGATAGCGACAAAAAACGGCAAAGGCACAGCTTTAATTACAAGCTGTTGGATAAATAAATCCACCCTCGCGCCCCCCCCCCTCCTTCGTCTTAAGGAAACAAGCGAGCGGGACTTCTTTTTCCAGAGCTTTCCTCGGAAAGTTTACGCGTGGCTTGAAGCGGGCACGGTCAAACAGCCATCGTGGCTTAAACAAGCTTTCCATCACCCGTTCGTTGCCTTTCGAGAGGGTGTTTTTGGTGTGTGTGTATGTGTGCGCGCGCGCGTCTCGCTGTGTATTTATTGTCGGCGTTGTTTGCTTCGTCAAAACAAACGCGCGACCCCCCACGCCGGCATGGCAACGTGTATATATTTACAGTGAGGGAAGAAACGTATTTGATCCCCTACTGATTTTGTACGTTTGCCCACTGACAAAGAAATGATCAGTCTATAATTTTAATGGTAGATTTATTTGAAGAGGGAGAGACAGAATAACAAAAAAAATCCAGAAATCGCATGTCAAAATGTTATAACTTGATTTGCATTTTAATGAGGGAAATAAGTATTGACCCCTCTGCAAACATGACTTAGTACTTGGTGGCAAAACCCTTGTTGGCAATCACAGAGGTCAGACGTTTCTTGTAGTTGGCCACCAGGTTTGCACACATCTCAGGAGGGATTTTGTCCCACTCCTCTTTGCAGATCTTCTCCAAGTCATTAAGGTTTCGAGGCTGACGTTTTGGCAACTCGAACCTTCAGCTCCCTCCACAGATTTTCTATGGGATTAAGGTCTGGAGACTGGCTAGGCCACTCCAGGACCTTAATGTGCTTCTTCTTGAGCCACTCCTTTGTAGCCTTGGCCGTGTGTTTTGGGTCATTGTCATGCTGGAATACCCATCCACGACCCATTTTCAATGCCCTGGCTGAGGGAAGGAGGTTCTTACCCAAGATTTGATGGTACATGGCCCCGTCCATCGTCCCTTTGATGCGGTGAAGTTGTCCTGTCCCCTTAGCAGAAAAACACCCCCAAGCATAATGTTTCCACCTCCATGTTTGACGGTGGGGATGGTGTTCTTGGGGTCATAGGCAGCATTCCTCCTCCTCCAAACACGGCGAGTTGAGTTGATGCCAAAGAGCTCAATTTTGGTCTTATCTGACCACAACACTTTTACCCAGTTGTCCTCTGAATCATTCAGATGTTAATTGGCAAACTTCATACGGGCATGTATATGTGCTTTCTTGAGCAGGGGGACCTTGTGGGCACTGCAGGATTTCAGTCCTTCACGGCGTAGTGTGTTACCAATTGTTTTCTTGGTGACTATGGTCTCAGCTGCCTTGAGATCATTGACAAGATCCTCCCGTGTTGTTCTGGGCATATTCCTCACCGTTTTCATGATCATTGCAACTCCACGAGGTGAGATCTTGCATGGAGCCCCAGGCCGAGGGAGATTGACAGTTCTTTCGTGTTTCTTCCATTTGCGAATAATTGCACCAACTGTTGTCACCTTCTCACCAAGCTGCTTGGCAATGGTCTTGTAGCCCATTCCAGCCTTGTGTAGGTCTCCAATCTTGTCCCTGACATCCTTGGAGAGCTCTTTGGTCTTGGGCATGGTGGAGACTTTGGAATCTGATTGATTGATTGCTTCTGTGGACAGGCGCCTTTTATACAGGTAACAAGCTGAGATTAGGAGCACTCCCTTTAAGAGTGTGCTCCTAATCTCAGCTCGTTACCTGTATAAAAGACACCTGCGAGCCAGACATCTTTCTGATTGAGAGGGGGTCAAATACTTATTTCCCTCATTAAAATGCAAATCAATTTATAAAATGTTTGACATGCGTTTTTCTGGATTCTGTTGTTGTTATTCTGTCGCTCACTGTTCAAATCAACCTACCATTAAAATTATAGACTGATCATTGCTTTGTCAGTGGGCAAACGTACAAAATCAGCAGGGGATCAAATACTTTTTTTTCCCTCACTGTATATATACGTGAGTTTCCAGCGAGGTTTGCACGTGGATTTTTCTCTCTTTTTGGCAGAACAAAAACAAACCCACACTCGACGCGCGCGGTCGCAGATTCCGATCTAAGAACAACAGCGCGTCTGTTCAACACGTAGGCTTTCGCGACCTTAATATTATCCATAATATTACGAACAGCGCGTATGTTGGCTACCGTGCTGTGGCGTTTGTCCCTTGCTTGTCCACAAACTTAAACCGGCAGCCCACTCACCATCGACACGGGAGGGCCACGCATCGTTTACTCGGGACTGCCGTCAAGGCCATCTTGTTTACGGTCAGCCGATCGGCAGATCGTGCATTGTGGGGATGAGGCTTGGGTAAGTCCCACCCCCTCCCAATATCATCATCATCATCATGAAGGGCCGTATATGTTAGTCGTAACTCGGCTCTAGCTCAGCGCGGTCTTGGGCCACTGCTCGGTTGCTTCCGAAGGCTTAGAGGCGGCTCCATGGGTGGGAGCGTGGCTCGGAAACGGCTCAATTGAGCCAGAGCCAAGCCTGAATCGAGCTGCGCTTAAGCATACAGCCCTAAAAGTGTCACTGCGGATCATGTTTAATTCACAAACTAAATTAGGCACGTCATGACAACTCTGTTGCACATTTGTCTCAACATAAATCGTTTGCGTCTTACGTATTTTAACACTCAGCCGTGCAGCCTTCTGGTTAATACATGTTTTCAGCAGCATTACTTTAAAACAAGCAAACTCTGGACTGGTTTCGACATTCAGTGTCTCATTAGCAGAGTCAGGTTTGCTTATGTATACATATATTCATGTATGCATATATTTATGTATACATATATTTATGTATGCATATATTTACACAACACAACACAACATGGTCACCACCTCTGTCAATGCCACCGCCCTAGAGGAGGAATACATATTTGATAGGCAACGTTTCGGGCAAGGTCTCATTTTTATAGCACCTACGTGAAGGGCCATTGCCTGAAACGTCGGCTATCAAATATTGTCCTTTCAAATGGCGACACATTAGTGTCTTTATCGGCGAAGTTGTTGCGGTTTTTTTTAATGTAAATGACGTAACTATAAACATCTATCGCAAACGTCGGCTCAGTTTGTTGTTTTTTCCCCCCACTGCTGCACGTTTGTTGCCAAGGCTTTGTGCGTGGTTGTGCATAGAAAGAGTTCATTGCGTCAGTCCATCTTCAAATGAGCATTCAAGGAGGAGGACACGGGGAATGGGTGATTCACGCGCCTAAGCAAACGAAGCCAACAGTCCCTTTTGAAAATAAAAGTTCCGGCTCAATGCACTGTTTATTAAAGATCGCCCAGGGGAGATAAATGTTCTGTGTATGGTGAACACAGACTGATATAGAGAGAGGCAGCCTATTCAGATAGACTAAAAATGCATTTGCCGATATGTTTCATTTAATTAAACCAGGCGGCAGTAGACGGATATTAACAGGTTACTAAGTCATCTAAAAAGTCCGTGATTTCCCGTTCAAATAAGCATCGATGGTCATCACGGACTTACTCACTGCCCTGTGATACACACACACCGCCCACTGCTGATAAGATAATGGTCGCTGGTCCAATATTAATCGAATTGCTGCCAGGAAATGGAACACATCCTAGGGGACTTGCACCGCGAGACGATGACGCAATGAAATCAGCGAGTTTCTACCGCGGCTGCCGGGTGGATTGCTACAGCTTCAGGGCCATGAGAGGTGACAGCAGCTTGGAAAAAGCCTTCATCCAGCAGTGGATTGAGCACGGCCGATGACGACGGCGACTCGCCGCTCTGTTAAACCGCCGTCTACAAGTTGACTTTGTCTCAGGCTACCGGCCGAATGACTCACACACAGCCCCCGTGTGTTTCAGCCATCGTCACCGTGCGTGACTCGGAGACTGGTGTCGTGAGACCCGTCTGGTTCCTGAGCCAAGGAGACAAGTTCGGGGTGAGTGTCAGAATCAATAATAATAATAAATGTTCTCACTTTGCAATTCAGTGGTTGTTCTATGGATTTACTAGCCCCCCCCCCCCCGCCATTTAAATGTGGAATTTCCTCCGCGAGCATAGGGATCTTAAACAGGAGGTTATAGCACTGCCTCAATGCTCATTTGAGCAAAGAAACACACAGACATTGTTTTCATATTTCACTCTGGGATGCTGCCAGTGGTGTAACGGTTGCCAGCTCTAGACTTGTAAGCAAGATCGCCGGGTGATGACGACGTTGCGATCTCAACATCGTCATAGCTTTTTGTTACGTTCTTTGAACCTATCTACGTGACTTTACCGAAAGACCCAAATAATATGAATTCCTGCAATCACAAAATCTTTAGGTCAAGGGTTCACTACAGTTAGTCCATCGGCAGGTCACGGTGTGATGGGTTTAAACCGTGGCCACCGGTACCTCTTCCAAGATGACTGGCTGGCATGGGAGAGTAGGCCAAAATACCCTCAAGGCGGACTCCGTGGAGTCCCATCTAGTGGAGGCCCCTTCCACCAACAGAGGCATTAGCAAGCAATTGGAGGGCAGCTCCTTTCACTGTTACCACATAACGTAGCCCCACAATGCCAAAATCCATTTCGCTCTTGTGTACTGGCCAATTAAGCGGATCGCTCCGGCAACACGGTGGCCAGCCTCTCAGTTGTGCAGCAGCCTCGCACTGCATTTAGTAGCGGATTGAATAGAGACAATAATGTTGTCATTTATTTTGGTTCGTTTGTTCCAGGAAAAGGAAATCGTGGGTGGCTTAAATTGGCAGTGCACGGTGATCATCGAGGAGAGTGCTGAGTTTCTGTGCCTCTTCAAGGAGGTGGGTCGTTAAACACAAAGAGGCATAACCAGTGCAGTTGTTTTCGTAATTGCAATAACGCTCATCTATCTAAACAACCACAGCCTCACCGAGTCCAGAGATGCATCTTCAGGAGGCCCCTGCATTGAATTATTTGGCGAATTGCTTTGCAATCAAGCTGGGAATTATTCATGCCCAAGCCGTACCACGTGGCGTTACAATAATTATCGTAACGATAATCCAATAGGAACACCGCTTTACGTGGATATTCTTTCGCGTCGTGCATAGACAACCGTGCTCAAATCGGAGGCACGGGGGAAGGACAAATTAAAAACACGAAAAAGCAGTTCTAAAGAAATAACTTTTCAATCTAAATTTAAAAAGGTGGATAGCTCCAGTGGCTTCCTAATAATTGGAAGGAAGAGCATTCCAGACGGCCACGGAAGCGCATGTTAAATAGCGTGCGACGCGTCGACCTTCTCACTTGACAACTCTACTCTGGATCCGTTATTTCTTTCTCCCGCTGTTGATGAAAAAAAATCTAAAATGAAAAACTTTAATAAACGTGTGATGGGTGTCCCCTTGGGAGGTGACAATATTGAGATTGCTCGTTGAAACGTCGCCCTCCCTCCCCCCAAATAACCTGCTTGTTGCGATTGTTCGCCGCACTTAGGACTTCGAGAAGATCTTCCTGTCGGGCTCCAGCCGCACTGTGAGCGATCCAGATCAGCACGCCTTCCTCAGGTCAGAATCAGAATGTATTTTCATGGTGATCCTTGCCTAATGCCTGACACTCTGTACGCTGTGTGTAAAGCTGGATAGGTTGCAGATTTTCATGGAATGAAAAATAAAAAAAATGTTTTCTATGAAAGTCAATTTACACCAAATCTGATATATAGAGAAATGTTGAATTCATTAAGTTCAATACAATCTTTACATTTTAGTCTTTTTCATTAATTTACATTTTTAGTAAGCCGTCATATGATGGGCAATTACACTAGTTTATTTAACGCTGGGAGGAATCCAATCAGCTATAAAAAGCTATTTTCACAGATGTCCAGTGGGGGCATGCAAGAACGTTACAAACAATTCAAAAACATGATTGGAGTGCAAAGTACACGGTTATCAAAAGGTGTGCGGTAGCCGAGCCCGCATCCCTCAATAAACGCCGCGGCCGTGAATTTTTTTTTATATACATTAGACGACGTTTCAGCCAATGGCCCTTCTCCACAGCACAAGTTTCCCGTGCTTGTGCACCACCTGCCACCGTGGCATCGTCAAATAACCATCATAGCGTGGCAACTATTGTGCATGTGTCATGATTCATATCAAGGTTTTAGTTTTTTTGGGTTCGATCGTGTAAGTATAAGCGTGCCGTTAACCCACCACCACCCGACACAGCCAATTAGTAAGGTTTGTCACCTAAACAAAAAGTGCCAATCGCCTATTATTTCAGCACATCGTTTGTGTTGGAGAGTAAAACCACAACATTCATAATTTGAGTACCGTAAAGTTTCACTGGCGATCACAACCAGTTTAACGACACATTTATATTTCACACGATCCAAGCAAAAAATAACCTCTATGGATGAGATTGGTCGCGAAAGCCTACAGGTAATGACGACTCTTCCGCACACAGCCACCCCCACAAAAAAAAAACTGCTTACAATTGATAAAGCGCTCTAAAAATAGAACGCGTTTGCAAAAGCTGTGGCAGCAGAAGATGGCAGGAACCACGTGAAAGCGAAAGTGCCGCACAAATCTGGACAGGCGAGTTCAGAGCTGCCCTTCAATAGCGCTGCTCAACATGGGCCATCAAACACAGCATACAAAGTAAAAACAAAAATTGTCATGGCACTGGTTTTATATTGTTTTACTATTGGTTGCATCACGTTAACCATTTTACTACATAGGAATAAAGAGAACCACACTGATTCCAAGACACATGCAATTTGCATGTGTCATGATCTTAAAAATGCAATGCATGATTCAATGCATCAATGACACCGCCTGTGCCAAACGTTTTGTACGTATGCTGAACTTCTTTAGCACTCCATAATAGAGGTTTTTGGGTTAGATCGCGTAAATATATGAATGTGTCGTTAAAACCCGCCACCACCCGACAAAGCCAACTCGTAAGGGTTGTCACGTAAACAGAACGTGCCAATTCGTCACTAGTACAGCACACCGGTGTGTTGGAGAGCCAAGCCACAACATTTACAATCAGAGTACGACGTTTCGCCAGTAATTACAACCAGCTTCATCAGGCGACAGCCAGGTTTGTGGAGAATCCTTACTGTTTCGTTCCTTATATAGAGGCGTAGATGTGTTGACCACGCTTCTGCACAATGTGGGTTGGGAGGGGATCACTGACTAACCTCTATGGGGAGGAGACTTTTATTTCGCACTGTAATGTAGCCACCCGCACTAATTGGAGGCGTTTTCCTGAATACAATACTCCCAAGGGCTTAATTTCTCACTGAATATTTCCCCGGGTCTCCGGTAGACTGGAGTAAGTGACACGTGACTAGCAAGCAGCCACAGCCAGGAGGCATACTGGATGGTGATGTGCCGGGCGGAGAAATATTTTGCGGGTCATCGGCCACCGGATAGATTCCGGCTGGAATTAATGCCTGCGTGACATTTCGCACGTGACCGTACAACGTGGATGGGTTCGTGTGTTTCACTCGTTGCTTCAGCTCCCTCGGATTTCTCAAGGGCTGGCCGATCCACCTCTTGCAAGAGAAACCTGGGAGATGCCTCGTCAGCCACCACAAGTGAGCGACAATATCCACCCGCATCTTGGGACAAAAAAAATAAAACAAAATGAAATCGCTCACCGTGAACAAATGTTGGTGAGACTCAGCGAGTCTTTCCTAGATAAACAAGGGGCATTATTATTATAACTATACTGATGTATAATATAAACATTCCCTAAAGGAGTTGTAGCGCTGTAATTATTAATTGCATCTCCCGGCACGGGAGTTGAAACAAACTCTTAATTCTCCTCCAACCTCTTGACCACCCGCGAGAGAGTATAAACGGTTGCACAAGTTACTTGGTCGGGAAGGTCACACCTGGTGGGTCCAAGTGTGGAGGTCCTTCTGCCAGCAATTGTACAAAGCAATAAATTCCAGGACTGAACGTTTGCCTCAACGTTTACGTTGCCCAAAATCTACCAACGTGTCGGCGCGCTGCGCTGTTAACCCGGTCCGCCCGAGGTCAATTGCTGGCCGTGGCTAACAGTGGAGAGTAACATCACAACCGGACATGGAGCTGCCCCACCCCACACCAACCCCACACCAAACCGCAAAAACATAAAACACAAAGACGTGAGTGAGGGGAGGTCTTCAATGACTGTTGGATTGAGACTTGCCTGGATGCATTTGACAAAATAGTTACTTGATATGCCTAAGAATCACCAACATTGCCTGGTGTACTGGACCCCCCCCCCCTCCCCTGCTGTTTATACTAACAAGGAGAGGCACCGTGATTACAAAAGACAGCAGCAAGGAAGACTGGATCTACATTATAAGATCGGTAAGCGTGCCATCGGCATAATTCAAGTTTACACTGGCTTCTGACTGCGTTCGCGTAGTCCGAAACGTGAATTTAATTGTTGTTGACGACCTGGCGATGCCGATGCTGCGGCCGCATTGGCAGCGGGTGCAATAATTATAATCAAATGAAATATTTTTTTTTTTAAAACACAACCGACGCGCTCGTCAACGGCAGTACGATTGATGAACAGCGGTGTCCTTTTGGCGAACGCGAAATCGATGTGCCGTCGTAATTGAAGCATTAACTCGTCCCCCCTCCCCCCACCCTCAGGGTAGCTGCTCTGTGCTGAAGGAATGCCGGTTAGGAGGAGACGAGGGAGGCATGGAGCTCGTGACCGACTCCTCTCGGCGAGCCCGAGGTTAGCGCCTACGGACGGCTCCACGTCCTTACTCCAGGACAAATGTTTCGCGATACGATCCCGATGAAAATAAAATTAAAATAAACAGCGTCATGACAGGACGATTAATCGCGATACGGGGTTTCCACCCCCCCCCCCCCCATTCCACTTCGTAAAAAAAAAACGTTTCCCACGTTATTGCATTGTAGCCACTTGTGAGCGTGCGCTGAACATCCTCCAAGTGCGAATTACACTTTACCTGCAAAACAGTTCCTCAGGTGACGGTTCACTTCGGGAGCAATAAGCCTGCCCTTGCGCGAGTCAATCGCTGCAGCTTTACAGTTCACTCTTGCAACAAGCCACCATGTGCTCATCGAGATAAGTTTCTCAAATTAAAGTTTCATCCCCCGAAACAAAAACCAGACTAAGCAGGCCACGTCTCACCCCACCACCGAGTTGCCCTCCAAGTTAATTTAACAATGTCCAAGCCGTGGCCACTCTCTCTCTCTCTCCGACGCCACCCACATACCATTTGCTTCGTTATCACCAAGGGGTGGGGACGTCTGGACGGTTTATTGCGAGCGAGGCGTAATAAACCAAACCGCGCGACGCTCGCTCGTCTTCTTCTTGTGGATGCGTGACATTCATTGAAGCTGCCCCGGTGGTTTATGTGGTAGGGTTGTGTTGGGAGGTGGGGAAGGGTGGGGGAAAAAAATAAAAGAGGCCGCAAATTTTGACCATTTTACAAAAGGCGCCCTAAAAATAGAGCCGGGGAGAATAGGCCGCACGTGCTCGTAAAAAGGCAGAGGCCGTCGGAGCAGCTGACTGCAGAGACGGAATGGAGAGTTCTGCACAAAGCAAGGCGGATGCAGTGTCTGTGGAGTTGACCTTCAGTAAAAAAATAAACACCGGCTGCATTTGCACGCAACATTGTTGGCATGTGGTCGGTCTGGAAAAATGCCAAATAATTTTTTGCTGTTCTCACCGTTAATACACAGGTACCAAATCTGCCTCACACTCGATAGGGGGGAATTTTCACGATTTAGAATTGCAATATGATTTTAAGATTTCGATTTTCTTTACCTCTAAGTTTGTAAGGTCACGTTTGTTCCGTCTTGTTTGTACTGCCCGTCTCATTTCTAAAATGTCCCGTTTTTCGTGATTCTACCGTCTGCTCATTTCTGTCCGTCTCGATTGTACTAGCTGTTTTTGTCTTTCCCCATCTAATTTCATTCTGCTGCGAGTGATGTGAAGCAATCCTTCCACCCTCCCCCCCCCCTTTGCAAATGTCCGCTGAGCGACGTGCCGATGCATGGTCAGCCAAACCCCGTGACTGACGTGGCACGAGCAGGCCTTGCAACAACTGTGAATTCACAGAAGGCTGTAATCGGTTTTCGGACATGTTATTTGGTGTTCACGCGAGGCTGGGTGGTGCCATCTGATGTCGTGAAGCCAAATCCTAGCTTGGAGCCAATCGTCTTCGCATGAAAGTCAATACAAATTTGTGTAATTTTGGTGGAGATTCAGCTAATGGCTAACAATTGAAATGTCCCTTACTGGCTGGGAATCACCAATAGGAGGTATGCATCCCAAAAATGACATTTTCTATAAATTAGAGAAACCCATCACAACAGAAAACTGTGCGCGTGCTCGAAACAATCAGAAATATGGCCACAGTCATCTCTTGAGCTGGTCTGTCTAGACAAAGATAAAAGCATCGCACATGCAATGTGAGATGCACGCAAGGCATGATGGGCATTGTGCCGCCCTGCCGTTTCCAAGCAGCGCACCTTTTGTGTGCCGTCATTCAGATTTTTTTTCCAGCCTGCACGCATTTACTCATTGCGATTGGTTCACTCATTGACAAATAGCGATGAAATAATAATAACAATAATAATAATAGGGTTTTTCCCCTTTTTTCTGGCAACAATACTGAAACCTTTTTACAAGGATTCCTGTCTGCATTAACCGCAATACCTGCAGTCAAAATGCAAACAAAAGACATACTATGATAATATATGCATTGTCCTTGAAACTGATTGGTCTACACCAAGGGACGGCTTTCTTTTGAGGCTCGACCCAATTGGTGCTCGACCAGATGACGCCAAAAGGCTTTCTTTTGAGCCTCGACCCAATTGGTGCTCGACCAGATGACGCCAAAAGACGTACACCTGGTCGAGCACCAATTGGGTCGAGGCTCAAAAGAAAGCCGTCCCTTGGTGTGGACCAATCAGTTTCAAGGACAATGCATATATTATCATAGTATGTTTTTTGTTTGCATTTTGACTGCAGGTATTGTGGTTAATGCAGACATGAATCCTTGTAAAAAGGTTTCAGTTTTGTTACCAGAAAAAAATGGGAAAAACCCTATTATTACATTTTGGTACTGGCAAAAGGAGGTCTAATGATGAAATAGCGATAAATTACGAATTCATGGCCGTCCCACAACTAGACTGCTACACCTTTGCTTGGGTCGCAATTTTCACCTTTCGATTGGTCGTCCGCAGGTGCCGAAGAAGGCTGCAAGCGGCAGACTCTCCTCACGTCCAAACACTGCCGCGGGCTCCGTTCAGACGCCAGCGACGCGCCCATCAACAGCCAAAGTCAGAACCGCGAGCACAGTGGCAGGGAAAGCTTCCAGCAGGACGCATCGTCCGGCGAAAGCCTCTGCGGCTATCGAGCAACGTCCGAAAGCCCCGGCGGACTCCATCCCGCGCGTGGAACGGCGGCGGCCAAGGAGGTTGATGGGCGAGGAGGGATGAGGAAGATGCCCTCCCCTATGCAGTGCGCCTACCTCCTTCCAGCCATCGCCTCCAAGGACCGCTTGCCGACACTGGACAGAGGTACAACACCGGGGGAGGTGGCTTACACAGTGTGATACAACGCAATACAGGAATAGAGAACTCCTATTGAACAACAACTTATTTATCCCGTTAAGCCACATTGAGTCTCAACAATCACTGCCAGGAGGGTCCCACCCTGGGATGTTTGGTTTAAAATACAGCAATCCCCCGCTATAAGTTGTCGCACTATGCGTTGTTTCACATTTAGATTGCCATCAATTAGGGAGCATATTTACTTACAAATGTAGAACACCGCATCATGCCACAGTGGTGAGAGGTCGTGGGTTCGATTCAAACCCTGATGCCTGTATATTTGGAGTTTGCATGTTTTCCCGTGATCGAGTGGATTTTTTGTTCAGGTTCTCCGGTTTTCCCCTCCACATTTAGAAACATGCATTCATAGTATTTGTCTGCTCTAAATATCCACATAAGCCACTTCGTTGAGCTATATAGCTCAGTGGGCCTTACCGGGTAAAATTTAAATAGTTAATAGTTTTACAATAAGTGGTTAATTTAGATAGAAATGTGGGGCTCGTGGCTTTTGATTCGAGTTCCAGCAGATCACGGCTTTTCCGTGTCGCCGATGAATGTCGCCGATGCGCTGTTGCCTGTGTAATGTCGTTGACAGGTCGCAAAGCCCACGAAGAAAAACGCACGAGGACGGTTTTTATCCGAGTGGACACCCTCAACGAAGGACGCGAATTCGTGAGTTCAGCGGCAAAGTTTGACGACCCGGTTCATTATTTGGCTTCGAACAGCCAAACACAGTCACGTGTTGGCCATCACTAAAAAGTAATATTAAAAAAAAACTTTTTTAAAAACACGCTTTAATGAAATGTACCCTACTAGTAATGGAAGAACAGCCAGACACAGGCGTGTTTTAAAAACACGCTTTAATGAAATGTACCCTACTAGTAATGGAAGAACTCGACGACTCAAGGAAGTGGCCCCGAAGCTTGCCATAACGTAAGGGGCCGTGGTGACTTACAGCCAACGTCAGTTGAGCGTGGACAATTAGACCCAAGCCGAAACATAACATATAAAAATAATGTTTAAAAATATTTTGTTTTATTTTTTTTCTGATAGAATATAGTATTGTCATCAGTAAGACATTCGTATACCAAGTCTGCAGTCGATACCACATTGGGAAGTGGGTTAAAATTGAGTTACAAGATTTCCGTTAATAGAAAGCGTGTAAAAAAAGACACGTAATGATTTCAGTGCAATGGGCGACTTCACAGAAGATGCAAGACTCCAAAGCAATGTGACCATCTTAAGGCCAGGTAAAGGGTGTCATTTACAACTGGCCCTCAATGTACTTTAGAAAGCACCCACTGAAAACAATGACACGTGGTATTGTCTTTTTTATTTGGAGTATTAATGGTATACACGTAGAACCTCTTTATCACCGCATGTAGCCAACCGTGATAAACGAATGTGCGCACAGTACAGGGATTAATGCTCCCAAATAATTTAAAAACACAAGCCAAAGTCATAGTGGAAATTCGACATTCCTCGTTTGGGGAGAAGTCTGGTATGTGCTGTCAAAGATCACTCGAGTCATTCGGCTCAAAACACTTGATTTTAAAAAAAGCAGTATTGAACATACGTATTCCATGCAAATGGAACTACGGTCACATTTGAATTAATAAATAGATCATACCTTCTTGGACACGCTGTATATGAACGTCAATGAGATGACATTCATGATAATGACGAAAATAGCGATAAGGACAATGATGACGTCAATTTTGGCGGCGCTGCTGATGGTAACAACACAAATGCAATTGTTAAATGACAATAATGGCAGTGGTGACGACAATGACGGTGACGATTGCGATAAGCTGAAAACATACCAATGACGTCGGCGACGACGACGGCATTTCATGGGCGACGACAGCGATGACGACGATGGTGACGGAGCGGCGATGGGTGCCGTGCCTAGGGCTTGGTGGACGCGCTGCTGGGAACGCAGAGCGGCTTCGCGCTCGTCAGCGACGGTGCCGAGTGTCTGCTCATCCCACGGCAGCTCTTCCTGCGGCACGCACCCCCGGCCCTGCTGGAGAGGCTCAGGCGCGAGGCGAGTGCCCGTGAATGGGGGGTGAAAATAATCATTCGGCGAATGGGATCACCGGTGGGAAAAAAAAAGCCAACCTATATATATATTTTTTTTTAAAAAATATATATAGGTTCTAAAAGAATATATACAACTATATATAGGGAAAAAAAGCCAACATATATTAAAAAAAACTCGCCAAAAACATGTTGGTGCCAATTCTCACCGCCTCTCCGCTTTGGTCCAATTTCCCACGCCTCCGAATCACTCTGAAGCTTGGAGAACTAAATGGAGTTCAAAATAACTCAAAAACGCCTTGGTGACAGTCCCGAGGCAGAAGATCCCCGGATTTTGATCTGTCACGAAGCTCATGGTCCACCCATGAAATCGGGACCCACCTGTGCGACTGGTCATCTATAAACAGACCGCACAACATAGCGACGTAACACCCGATCTATGCAGACATCGCAGCGATACACTCTGCTGCTGCCGGCGCGGTTATCGGACTTAACCACCTGAATGTGGAATTTAAGTCATTGCTTTGCATGTACGACAGACCGAGTGGGCAAAAACTGCCCGTGTAATTAATACTACATTGTGAATATAATCGCAAAGTAGCCTCCTTAAAATACAGCGAATACATTTCTTATATGAAATAAGTAACAAATTATTCTAAATAAGCTGTGCTCTATTCAATTCAGCCAGTTATATAATGAAGGCAATTATAAATGGGGAATCAAACTACGTGAAAAAAAAAAACATGTAGCAATGACCATCGCAAGCTGCCGCGGGCAATGCACCTGACGTTCGTGTCGTCCCCTACCAACAATACCAATACCGGACATTCGCCACTCACTAACGGCGAGGTCACCACGGCGCCTGTGTCAGCCACATCCCAGAGGGACCAAAGCTGCCTACTTAGCCGACCGAATCTTTGCGATCCCGGGCCCGACACACACTGGGGAACAGTTTACACGTTCCAAAAAAACGGTGGGCAGCCCACATACAAAGACAACATTTGCTACGCAAAAATAAAAATTCCAAAATTACGGAGTTACTCGAACCCAGGTTGCACTTGCAAAAAAAAATGCAATTGCGCGTCACTTGCCCCGGTCGGTTTATCAAATATCCTGGTTAAATAAAATGATGCCCACTGATGACTTGTGTAACTTATGAAAAATCATGTTTAATGCATCCTACTTCTTGTTGGAAACTTAGATGAAATCTTTTTTTTTTAAGGCAGTGTGCCAGTGGAAAAAGAAGGCAAACGTGGTGGAATGAATGAAACTAAAACAACAACTCTTCGATGGAAAAAAAAATCTCAAGGCAGCCGCCATGTATGTGGGCAGAATTGCAATTGAAATGTGCGGCTAATCGGCTCAAATAAAAGAAAAGAGATGTGGTGTGGTGGGGGCTGTGTAACTTTGCCTCGACTTCTACAATACTCGTTAAAATGTGGCCCGCCGCGAAACGATCTCTGTCGCCTGGAGACCCTTTTAAAGAGCCTTGTGAGACGCGGCCAACGTGGCTTCTAGACGACCGCAGCTTCTTGGTTCCCCTCTTCGTCGTTCAAAGAGAAGCCGACCCCACCACCGCAATCCCGCCCCCCCCCCGCCCTCTCGCCGCGCCTGCTCATTGTTGGAGACACCCGGGCTTCCACGAGTCACGCAGGCTCAAGTTAAAAGCAAAGTGAACGCTCAAAAAGAGGAGACTGCAAAAATCACATCTCTTTAAAGAAAAAAATCGAATTTGCCCTCTTCACTTATTTTACCAGTGACCAAGCAAAGGTTGCGATGGATAAAAGTTCACATTTCTTGAATTGAGCAAGGTTATTAAAAAAAGACTTAGGGAGACTATGATGGGGGATTCCAAATTGGAACCAGTACCGAGGAAATTCGCCAAAAAAAAAAGTGTGACCTACAGCGTGGCGAGCGAGTTAGTGAGTGGGATAGTGGAGCGAGCTGGCGAGGCAGGAGGGTCAGGTGTTGTGACCTGCAGTGTGGTTGGTGGTGGAAGTGTGGATGAGTTGAATGTCTGGTAGACCGAGTCCTCAACATGGATGAAGGAATCAATGGGTGAAGTTCACAAAAGGGTTACCATAATAAGCGATAGGAGCGTGATGAGACTTTCATTATATAAATTAGGTAGCGGCAATAATTTAGTTTGATTCTTCTCTGAAATCAATGGTTTTCCCATCACAACTCAGAAATAGAGAAACACCTTTGTTATACATTAATTCGAGGAAAAAACTAGAAATACTTTTTTTTTAAATTACCACATTTTCCATATAAGGTTTGTATAGCTTTGACATCGGGCACAAGTTGGTGCGTCTTAAGTTGCCTGTGTGCTATAATCCAAAGTACGGCATCTCGCTGGGCGACATCATGAACTTCGTCGTCATTCTCTCGGACGTAGTGGATGGAAGAGCACTGAGAGTGCCACTGCCTGCAAAGGTGGCATCTTTAAAAAATGCAGGACAGCAAGCATGTTTAGTTCCTATTACAACGAGACAGCTCGGGTGCTCTCCACCTCACAGCTGTGGAATTTCGAGACGCCTCAAACTTCCGGTCACATGCAAACAAAGAACACGATTCCATTGTATTCGTGAACACATTATTTTTCTTGAATTCCAACACTGCCAGCTATTTTTTTTCCCCTTTAACGCTTCAACCAGTTCTGCTATCTTTTTCAAATCTCCAAAAAGTGTCTCTCACAACACGTAACTTCTGCCGCGTGGACTTTTGCTACCTTCCGCCTTTGCGCTGCGCTAGGGGAGGAACCCTCATGCCATTTATTTTACACAGCAGCACATGCTGCCTTCCTGACGCAACACTGGCCCTTCCAGGGCACCTTCAAATGGCACGGTAAACATTGCCGCTCAACCCCTAAATTATCTCACCCCGCTTCCTTTCACGTTCTGGCTTCGGGTGGCTCCGTACGGGGGTGAAAGAAGTCCATACATACGTGCCACCTCATTTAAGGTATTTGCAGTTCTCATTACCTCATTTATGCGCCGTCACTTTTAGTTGCATCTTTGTATCGTTTATAAAAAAAAACGGATCTTCCCACAATCACCGTTCTACACTGCCCTCCGCCAAGTTTTAATTCTGTAATATTAATATAGGAACATTCATCTGCTGCATTCAAGTGGGTCCCAGACTTCTGCCGATCACGTACTCCTGTCATGCGAGTCTAAATCGACCGTTACGCATTACTCTTCCAGTGTATAGGATAATTTTGTTTTGGGCAAGCCAGATTGTTGATCAATTATATAATAACCGTTACACACTGCAAAATAGTAAACAATTGAAATTAGCATTTTAATCGAACACCAACGGCATTTAGTCATTCTTTCTAACCGAATACCGATCTACCAAACACAATAAAAAAAATGCGTAACAACATAAAAAAAAACTACCGTACAATTTAAAGGCACGTGTCCGAGCAATCGGCGACACAGCCCAGCGGGCAGCGCGTCTGCCGCTTGTTACGGAGGTTCACGATTCGAATCCAGCGGGCCTCCCTGGTTATCACTGCAGGTGAATAACCGTGGTACTACGCGCCGTCTGCTCCAGGTGGACGTTAAAGAGATCCCATTCTCAACGAGCAGACCATGGTGCTGCCAACATCGGCGTCCAAATTTGCCAAAAGTTAAATCGGCGAATTACTCAATTGAGATTATATATTTAACAATCGCCACCCACTACCGGCGGACTAATGCCTCGGATCACCGCTGCGAATGAGACGCATCATCTCGGGTCTCTAGCGTTCTCGTCTGGTTAAAACAAAAAAAAAACGCCTCTTGTGTTCCATAAACGAGACGGTCTTGTCTCGTTGTCCCTCCCCTCCCCCCCCCAGGTCTCCCCGTACCCCAGCCAAGAGCAGCTGAGCAGCGCGCTGCAGGCCGAACTGCGCTGGCTTCACTTCCGTCGGCGCGTGCTGAAGAGCGCCGCGGCCTTCGCTCGCGACGGCTGCCGCGCTCTCACGACCGCTCGACCCTCCGCGTGCGTTCGGCGACGGCGAGAAATGGGCAGGCCGATGCCAGCACCGCCGCCACCGCCGCCCCTTAGCAGGCCGGCGATGCACAGGGGACAGCTGCCACCGTGGGTCCCCCTGGCTTAGACTGCAGCGGGGCATGGCAGTGGTTGACGGGAGATGTGATGTACGGCACTTAATAGCTGGGTAGGGGAGGGTGTGTATATAAAGTTTAACACGTATCATCCATAACACAGGTTTTTTTTGGGTTAGTTCGCATGAACATATAAATGTGTCGTTAAACCCGATGGTAAATCTTGTGGCCTGGCTCTCCAACACACCGGTGTGCTGTACTAGTGACGAATTGGCATGTTCTGTTTACGTGACAACCCTTTACTAGTTGTCTGTGTTGGGTGGTGGCGGGTTTAGCAACACATAAATATATTTACACGATCTAACCCAAAAATAAATCTGTATTATGAGGGAAATATAATCTGCATTGAAATGAGTCTCAGGGTATCCAATAATAATAATCATCAATAATTGTACTCATTGGGTCTTTCGGTAAAGCCACGTAGATAGAAGAAGAAGAAGAATCAATAATTGGTTCATGTTTGTGACAATACGAGATCGTTTGCATACAATGTGCATTCATTGTATATAATGGAGTCAGTGAGATTTGTATTTGAGTATTGCACGCATAAGAGTCAAACTTAACCAGTGAATGCATCAACTCCCAGTTTAATATGAACATAACATAGATGAGGATGACGACAATGAAGAGCTCGTATGCTCTGTGGTCTAAAGATACTGTTTTCTCACACCTACAGCACAGCATTGTACACAGCGTTTTGCTCTTACGATTAAAGACTCTGTCAATTGAACATCCAATCAACCAAAGTGGCACCGTTCTTGAGAACTTGGAATCACAACCCAGCCAGTGTTCATTCCCATAGACTTGGCTCTTGCCATGAGAATGTGCGAGGTTAATGGGCGAAGTTAAGAATCAATTCAGGAGCCTCTGGTGCCTGGTGGACATTGGTGATAGTGCCCACGAGTGTGGAAGTGTGGGCAGTATTGGCTCGTGTAACACTGGTCTACAGCCAAAATTATTCCGAAAAAAATCGAGTCCAACTTTACTAATTCAGGGTCACTGAGAATGAAAATGATGATTAAAATTGTTGATTGGTGCTAGTGTTTCAGGATATGCTATTGGGTCAGTATGTACAACCCATAACTTGGGAATGGTGGAGGATAAGTGAGTTATAAAGGGAAGGGATCTCAATTTTAACTAGAAATGACTAAAATTCATATTTGACAGGATCTATGAATAAATCTACGACTGGGTTTGGAAAGTACTTGCTTGTTGAGCAAAACAATGAATGATGCAATCCGAACCTGGTATTGCATCATACATGATATGATTTGCATCATGTTATTCATAGAAGTCATGGATGATGCAACTATTTCTAGGCTTACAACAAATTGCCCTATATCAGCTCTAGAAGTCATACAGCGTCGTGCTCTCTTATTTGTCAGTGTTTGATTTTGCAAAGGGACACATTTCTGTTTAGCCAAAGTGAGCAGAGAGATGCCTCGTACTTGTGTGAAAAAGCAGATGACTTCTGCTATGTGTGGTGAAGTGACGTATGTATCACAAAAGCGCAGTATAACCACTATGGTTAAGAAAGCCTGTCACATATTCTTAGCTCTTTCGGTAAAGTCACGTTGAAGGGAAACAATAAAATAATAAAATATATATATAAAACAATAACGTGACTTTACCGAAAGAGCTAAGAATATGAATTACTGTAGTCACGAAAGCTTTCAATCAAAATTTAAAGCCTATCACCTTTATTTTTGTTGAAAAATTGTAGATCAGGACAAGATGTGGGCCCCACACATATGCTGCAGCACTTGTGCAACAAATCTTCGCCAGTGGTTGAACAGGAAAGGGAAACCTATGCCTTCTGCAGTGCCAATGATTTGGAGAGAGCCAACAGATCATATCAGCGATTACTACTTCTGCATGTGTCAAAGAAGAAAAAGTGGATATTATTTTGTTCTTTCGGTAAACTCACGTAGATAGAAAATTATCAAATAAAAATAATAATAATAATAATAAATGTTTTTTTTTTAAAAAAAACCTCCTCAAGGCATGCGAAAGCCTTGGTTACAACATGTCACAAAATATAGTTTTTTTGCAGTCTCATCTAGATTATTCCCAGCGAACTGCGGAGCAGCGAGCAACGAGCATGGCGAGCGATTCCACCCAGCGCATTGCAACAATGGAGAAACGCTATCAGGGCAAATGGAGCCCATCAATGCTTGCCAGACTATTGCTGGACAGTGACAAGAGATGCTCCATTTAATGAATAGAAGAGACAAGCCAAGAAGCGCCTAGTAGACACTGAATAAGGACTAAACTATGTACTTATATATACACAAAATAGTTGTTTGTCTTTTAGTTTCATAATAAATGTTATGTATACAACCCTTTTGTTGACTTTTAAAGTGTTACATGAACAGGACAGGTGACATGTTATCATGTAAAGCAACCATAAACACATGAAAAGACCTAGGTTTACAATTTATGAGTAAAACTCTATCTACACAATATACATAGACGTGAAATGTAAAAAACTTAAATATCTTGGGAACAGTAGCCATTCAGTTGTTTACATTGTCATATTCGAATTCAGCACTTAAAAATCCATAACAAACAGCACATTTCATCTCTGAAGCAGACGACGACTACAAAATTGTAGACCAGTGTTATTAACGATCTGGTGGTGCTGGTGACCGACGAAGACCTTCCCACGCTGCCCCCCCCCCTCCATCCAGGTTTCTCCCGATCCAATCAAAGCAATCAACGTCGTCGTCATTAACTGACCTCTGGACATTGACCCATCGTACGGTTGGTTCTCCGTCAATACACCCTTCACGCCACACCCTGCTCTCTTTCTTCCTCCCTATTGTCCTCAGTCATCATCATCATCCATCTTTCTCCCCTGCGCTTAATTCTTCAGTTCTCACCGACGTTGATCAATTTTTTTGTTTTTTTTTTACTAGAGCTCCCCTCCCATTTAGATATACAGTAGACAGTCGATTATCCGCTCTAATGACGGGTAGGACGGCCGTGGATAATTAAAAATCGTTGATAATCCCAAAAACATAACCATTTTCCGCGGATTTCTACGTCAAAAACAACATTCTCCTGCACAGGAGAGTCCGCCCACTAAGTGGATAGCAGAGGCGTGCCAATTAAAAACAAAGCATTCTAAACTCTGCCCACTGTTGTAAAGATTAAAACGCTTAGGGGATGCATTGATCACCACTGGCTCAGGGCCACCAAGAGATGAGTTGAGGAATTCGGACCTTTAGACCACATTTGAATCGTCGTTCAAGAAAAAGAGCATGCCCACATTTGCATAGAAGGTGCAATTAGAATAGCCATCGAATCCGCGTTAAAAGTCTCGAGTCACGGCTTCGACAAACTATCCAGCCACTTGAAAAGTCAAGAGGATGCTCCAACAGCTTGAAGATTGTAAAACGCGCCATGCTTACAAGCGTACAACTCCAGGGCAAATGGCATTTTAAATTATGGAGGGGCTTTTTACAGTTAATATGCAATGTTAGTTTGAACACAAATGTGAAAAGTTAAGTCAATAAAATCGTTATTTTTGTAAGTATTCCCCAGCTCCAAATCAACATTTGTCCTTTCAGATTTGTTCAAGTAATATACAGTAAACGTGGAACGTTGGGCCAACGTTAGGACAAATGCGTTCAACCACATGCTTACTTGTTTCATGCCAAAAACATAGCATGCATTGGAGTGTTTACATTTTTAAAAAAACAAGTGTTCAGGTTTTGTTTAAAAAAAAAGTTGTCAGGTTATATTAAGCAGGTTAATGATCTATCTGTGTAATTGTATCTCTAGTTGAATACCTTGTATGCATGGCTACTCCACAGCTACGCGTTTCCTCCCACACAAAAAACCCTAGCAGAACTCTTTAATTTGGAGCCTTGCGAATCACTGGAGGCTTGTCTGGGTAAAACGGAAAGGAATGAGCAACGTCCCGGGAATGTCGCCAAATGTTTTAATCATTTTCAGTGGTTCTGCTCCGGGAGAACTCCCACCATAGGAATGTGGAATTTCCACCACTGCCTCATGGTCTACAAAACTGTCAAAGACGGCTGCCCCACTGTCCAATTAGCGTTAAAAAAAACACTTCAATATATTTTTTACGATGAAAATAATTAGCTCTATCCTTTCCAGCAATAGAACATGAGGTGTTAGGGATGTTCAAACACCAAAGAGACACCTATTACAAGGCATCACGTCTGCATTAACCACACGTGCTTGGTGGTAAAAAAAAATAATGCTTCGATTATGTTTGCATTGTCGTCTTTGGTGTAGGCCAATCGGTTTTAGAGACGGCCTTCTCTCAGGCGTTAGACCAAACAATGCCAAAACGTGAACAGCAAAAAAGGCGATGCAAATATAGTGTTACATAAAATGTTTTGTTCCTGGGTAGAAAGTGCTATTTTATAATTGCTTATGCCTCAAAAGTACAGAAAATGGCTATTATTCTACACAAACTTTGCTTTTGTGACCAGGACAGCGATATTTTGAAATGTACCTATTTTCAACGTGTGCATTTGTGTGATCCCTTCACAGAAAGCCCTGGTCACACAAGCAAAGTTTGTGGGGAATAATAGCCATTTTTCGATACTTTTGAGGCATAAGTAATTAAAAAAAATAACACTTACTACCCAGAAACAAAAATCGTGTTACGTGGTGATTTCATAGCGTTACAAGTGCAGCGTGAGCAGTTATATCTATGGTAAGTTTTCTCGTCGTAAAATGAGAAAATTAACATTGGTGGAACACCAGTGCAGTATAAACACACCGGTCCTAAACAGGTCCCTGCAGGGTGGGCTGGTAGAAAGTTCGCAAATGAGATAATGTGACTTCCAAATGTTGGGTGCAATAAGACATATCAAGTCTCTGCGCTGTCTATTGCTGATTTTACACCCAACAGCACGAGATTTCACTTCGTTAGAGTATTGAAAGGGGACGGACGGACGGACACATTAATCTATTGCAGGCTGGTACACTCAGTTTACAACTTCGTTCCTACCAGTATAAAACAAACGGTTTTCCGACTGCTTCGACATCACGACAACTGATTTTCTGACTAATCGTCAATACGTTCAAGTAGGCTTCACCCCTGCTGGCAATGCAGGTGTTAAGATTATAGTCAAATCGGTCGCAACGACAATGTATGCATCGAAGCATGTTTACCACCGGGAATGTGTGGTCAGTGCAGACTTGATGCCTTACAATAAGTCGTCTTGTTGGTGTTCGAACATCTTAAGAGCTGTATTATTGCCAGAAAGATGTACATCCCCCGCCCCACCCCCTCATTATTTTGATACTGGCAAAACAGGTCCCTTTAGATGTTTGATGTGTTGAAATCGTTTCCAGACTTCACCGCAAATGACGCAATTTGTTGAATCTAAGTCGTTTTAATTAGGGTTAATTAATCATTACACACCATCAATGGTGGAGCCAGGATTTTCAGGTGGGGGAGGCAACCCCTCCAGCAATGAAAAATGATAGAGGAGTTGTTAGTGAGTAAGGAGTTGTTAGTGAGTAAGGAGTTGTTAGTAATTAAGGAGTTGTTAGTAAGTAAGGACTTGTCCCTTAAATTTCGATTTAAAGCTTTCGTGACTGCAGGGATCCATCTTCTTTACCGAAAGAACCAAGAAGACTTGTCCCTTGCTTTTTACTCGAGGCGTGTGCGGCGATGGCGCAGCCACCGATCGAGGGGTCGAATTCGAACCGCGTTGTGTGATCGGCATCGCGCTCTCTGAAGGTGTTGATGCCTTCAGAAAAGTCGTGTACTGTATACGCAACTGCGCACAATTCTGAGTCACTTATAACTGCTTTGCCGTTAATTATTGCCAATTATGGACTCAGACTATTGTCTTCTCATCTCATAGAGTCCCTGGCACGTAATAATATGCTACACAGTGGAAGTGGGGGTCGCAAAATGCCGATGTATTACTAATAAACCCCAATGATCCGATTCGAAATCCACGTGCCACTCCCCTCCCCCCCTCACTGGCTCCGCCAGTGCTCACCATGGAGATGCTGGAGGTGTATTGGTTAGCTCACTGGACTTGCAATCCAGAGGTCATTGGTTCCACAATTCAATCCTGAGACTGTCCACCTCGCGGTCGTAAAATGGGTGGCCACATTTGAATGGGCAGTTCACACGTGGTGGTGGGGTAAAGTGGGGCTGCTCCCAATTCCTTACGCGATGTCTGACCAGGTGGTGTTGAGAGGAGCCAAGAGACGCTCTAGAGCTGTGGTTCAACCTTTGTTTGGATACCGCACCCCTTTGTTCAATTTAGTTTCAACCGAGCACCCTCTCGTCTGATCCAACATGGTTTTGAGAAATAAATGTGTAAGATAAATAAATGTCAAGGCGCTTTGTTTCTTCTCACACAGCTTAAAGGTCGTGATCTGAGCGTGGCTTTTTTCACTCCAGCGCTGTCCTCCAGACAGTCTCGAAACGTCGTGATTTTTTTAATTTTATTTTTTACCTACGTGACTTTACCCAATAGATCCAAAGAGTATGGATCCTAGCAGTCACGAAAGCTTTAAATCTAGAATTAAAAAAGGTACTTTAATATTTTTACCAAAATGGTAAATTGTGTGAGGCATCCCCAACTAGCTGGTAACGGCAAAGTGAATAGAAAAAAACGCACGCTCTTGCATGCATTACGTAATTCGCTTACGCTCGCTGGTTACTCTTGGAAACCACATTGTTTACCATCTTTGAGTTTAGAACGGTCTTAGGTTACCGTGTGCATTCAAATTTTATCGTACTTATTTTATACCGGCAGACTCTTACACGATTATTTACCAATGACTCTCAGTACAGTGAGGGAAAAAAAGTATTTGATCCCCTGCTGATTTTGTACGTTTGCCCACTGACAAAAAAATGATGAGTCTATAATTTTAATGGTAGGTTTATTTGAACAGTGAGAGACAGAATAACAACAACAAAATCCAGAAAAACGCATGTCAAAAATGTTATGCATTTTAATGAGGGAAATAAGTATTTGACCCCTCTGCAAAACATGACTTAGTACTTGGTGGCAAAACCCTTGTTGGCAATCACAGAGGTCAGACGTTTCTTGTAGTTGGCCACGAGGTTTGCACACATCTCAGGAGGGATTTTGTCCCACTCCTCATTGCAGATCTTCTCCAAGTCATTAAGGTTTCGAGGCTGACGTTTGGCAACTCGAACCTTCAGCTCCCTCCACAGATTTTCTATGGGATTAAGCTCTGGAGACTGGCTAGGCCACTCCAGGACCTTAATGTGCTTCTTCTTGAGCCACTCCTTTGTTGCCTTGGCCGTGTGTTTTGGGTCATTGTCATGCTGGAATACCCATCCACAACCCATTTTCAATGCCCTGGCTGAGGGAAGGAGGTTCTCACCCAAGATTTGACGGTACATGGCCCCTTCCATCGTCCCTTTGATGCGGTGAAGTTGTCCTGTCCCCTTAGCAGAAAAACACCCCCAAAGCATAATGTTTCTACCTTCATGTTTGACGGTGGGGATGGTGTTCTTGGGGTCATAGGGAGCATTCCTCCTTCTCCAAACACGGCGAGTTGGGTTGATGCCAAAGAGCTCCATTTTGGTCTCATCTCACCACAACACTTTAACCCAGTTGTCCTCTGAATCATTCAAATGTTCATTGGCAAACTTCAGACGGGCATGTATATGTGCTTTCTTGAGCAGGGGGACCTTGCGGGCGCTGCAGGATTTCAGTCCTTGACGGCATAGTGTGTTACCAATTGTGTTCTTGGTGACTATGGTCCCAGCTGCCTTGAGATCATTGACAAGATCCTCCCGTGTAGTTCTAGGCTGATTCCTCACCGTTCTCATGATCATTGCAACTCCACGATGTGAGATCTTGCATGGAGCCCCAGGCCGAGGGAGATTGACAGTTCTTTTGTGTTTCTTCCATTTGCGAATAATCGCACCAACTGTTGTCACCTTTTCACCAAGCTGCGTGGCAATGGTCTTGTAGCCCATTCCAGCCTTGTGTAGGTCTACAATCCTGTCCCTGACATTCTTGGAGAGCTCTTTGGCCTTGGCCATGGTGGAGAGTTTGGAATCTGATTGGTTGATTGCTTCTGTGGACAGGTGTCTTTTATACAGGTAACAAGCTGAGATTAGGAGCACTCCCTTTAAGAGTGTGCTCCTAATCTCAGCTCATAAAAGACACCTGGGAGCCAGAAATATTTTGATTGAGTGGGGGTCAAATACTTTTTCCCTCATTAAAATGCAAATAAATTTATAACATTTTTGACATGCGTTTTTCTTGATTTTGTTGTTGTTATTCTGTCTCTCACTGTTCAAATAAACCTACCATTAAAATTATAGACTGATAATTTATTTGTCAGTGGGCAAACGTACAAAATCAGCAGGGGATCAAATACTTTTTTTCCCTCACTGTATGACATAACGTCACATTTACACAATCACCTCACGTACCTCCAGGGATCCGCGTACCCCCGGTTGAGAACCACTATTTCAGGAAGAACTCCCAAGCAGGAGGCCCCGTTTCCAGCAGTGAAATGAATATGTAATTGAAGGTCTCTTCCATTACCATGGTAATGGATTCCCCCCACGCCCATACCCTGTACGGTTGTATCTGAATATTCATTTAAAAGTCCAGAGGTCATCGTGGCTCAAGGCATGCCACCAGCCCTCGCCATTGCTTCAGTCCTGCTGCTATATCACATGGCTGTTGCAAAGATTTATTGGGAAGCTTTGTAAGGAAATGGCGATGAAATTTTGAGAGATGGGTGGCGGCGGTGACCCAAAGGAAAGATGTAAAAAGCCGTCGGAATTCGCAAACACTTTGCCCCCCTCCAAGAGCCAAGTGCGTGCGAGCACTTACAATGCGTGAGTGGCATCTGCAATTCTCTAGCAACTACGATGCCACACGGCAGTCTGAGTGAACCACGCAAGGTAAAGCGGCAACGGCCATCCAGGTATGGAAACATTTCGTGTGTGTTTATGGGTCAGTCTCTAAACATAACAAATATATATTTTACGCGTTCACGTACTGCTACGCAAACAAAGTGCTCCTGAAGTTAATACCATAACATAGGTAAATGTAACTCGAACGCATCCTCTTCACAAGTCTGTTCGCATGTTTCTCCGTGTGTGTAGATTTTTTTCGACGTTTTATAACTCGAGATTCGTGAGTCCCCTGGTATTATCGCGTTACCATCTGCTATATTGCAGTGCTGAGCAATTCCCCCTCGGCTGTTCAAGGAAGAACTCATTCCTACTTCATAAATCATAAAAAAAATGGCATGTATTCTGAAAGCATGACATTGCCTTGTATTTAAACTCACTTATGAAGAAATTGCAATGTCTCCACAGTTTCCCATTCAGCGTATTGGCCTTCCATAGGAATGTTATCCATCGGCAATCTGGGGTTGTGAAGACCCCGCATGTCCAACCTGAGAAACATTGCTCCACTGTCACATTGTTCCATCCGCCGATATAGGGAGGCTGATCCAAAGCATTTATTTTCTCACGGATTGACTGGTTTAAGTGCACCTCCCCCATCCCTCGCTCCAGTTTCCACGCTTCCTTGCAATGGCTTCCCGTCTCTGAAAATCGAGTGGAATCTAAGATTACGTGCTCGTATTTAAGGCCTTGCAGGGGCGCCGGTGGGACGTGAGCATCTGGCTCCACAATACATGCAGAAGCCAGATTGTATATCATGCCCCTGGCAAGGTCTTTACGATCTGCCAATAGTGACCCCCCCCCCCCCCCCCCCTTTAGGATCACCCTTGATCTTGGTGGCATTCTAGGGAGGGGGGGGTGGCAGACATTTACTGTGGTGCCCACCCACCCTGCGTCGTGGAAATCCCTACCTTCTTCTTTGGTTCTTTCGGTAAAGTCACGTAGAATGAGAATAAAAATAAATTGATAAAATAAAATAACACAATAATATTCTCACGACGTTTCGGCCACAACACAAGCGGCCTTCATCAGGTGAAGGGACGCGACTGTCTGTCCTACCAGACAGGTGAAGGGACGAGACTGTCTGTCCTACCAGACAGTCTCGTCCCTTCACCTGATGAAGGCCACTTGTGTTGTGGCCGAAACGTCGTGAGAATATTATTGTGTTGTTTTATTTTATCAATTTATTATTTTATTCTCATTCTACGTGACTTTACCGAAAGAACCAAAGAAGATGAATCATTGCAGTCACGAAAGCTTTAAATCGAAATCCCTACCTTGTGTCACTCAGCTGTGGAAATCTCTGCCGAGTGCTACTCCCCCCTGTCCTGGTTGTGAACCTACTTGGATGGAGATTAGGCTGTTGGTCAATGTTTGATATCTTTAAAACCAGTTTTTTAAAACAAAAGTTTCCAAATGTGTTTGGTTACCTCTGGCTATTTTATAGAGCCTGCTTCCTCACGTTGTCTTTTCATACACAGACGCAGACCTGGTGGAAAGGTGTCAGTGCAAATTATTACAGTGGTTCACATGAGCATTTCGCATTTACAAGGTTAAGAACGTAAACCTATGACCAATAAAACAATACAATGTAGGACAAACATGTGCTATTACTCAGACACTGGGCTAGCATTGTGTTTTTATTATTAACTGCCAACACTCGTAAAATACCTCTACCCTGCTGGGTGGTGCAGTGGTAAATTCATGCTCACTATTACAAGGACGTGCGTTTGAATCCTGGAGGGGAACGGTGAAAACATAAATTGTTTATCCAGGGTTTGATTACTTTTCACGACCAATATTTAAATTCAATATCGGATTATTTTCGGTCTAATGTCCATAAGAGCCAAGCATCATCTGCAACCCGACAAATCGTGTTGGTCACGTGGGTGTCAATTTATTGATGTTTTTATTCAGAAAATCAGAATGCAGAAAACCGAACAACCGTTACTTGCTGCTCAACATAATAAAACTAAATTGAACGACACATTTGCCCACGTGACAATTTGATTTGTTTGGCCATGTCAGGTGGTGCAGTGTTACAGACCGAATTTGACGTTACACCTCTACTATCTCACCTAAAAACACCAATTCGGAGTTCAGGTTCTTTAAAACAGTTACTTTGTGGGAGCACAATTGGTCATGACCTATTGGTCAAATTTCCACCGCTAACTTCAGGTCCACCAAGGGAAATGAGCAGCGCTTCATTTTTGTGCTTTAGCAGGAATTACACTTGGACTTTAAAATCCAATTAGAAATAATACAATTTAGTACAAATGGGTGCCAGTGAAATCCATCTCACGGAGCATTGGAGAGACGAATGCGATCATTATAATCGTTAAAATAGAAGGCAACAGGTAAATGTGGAGCCCTGTGCCTAATATTGTTTGCTCAAAACGTTGGAAGAAGAGACTCTGCTAGAGGGAGCAGAGGAAACTTGAGGGTATTTGGCCTACTCTTCCACTGCTCAGGTATTTTGGAAGGTAGTGAGAGTACCCACAATTTGTCCCACCACACGAGGCCCATCGGATTGACGGCAGTGTACGCACGTGCTCTGCCAGAGATTTAAGAAATCTGCACTAACTGTTTAAAATCCTATGCCATAACATCGAATCGAACACCGGTAGAATGCAAGTCCAGAGTGCAAAAGCTTTACACCACAGCTTGTGCCACAAGCAGTAAAAAGTGCACGCCATACCAAAAATCCATCTTTACAATTGTCCGGTCCAACTTTTATATTCTCTAGGCCAAAATGCATGAGAAACACAGCTCGGCATTGAAGTTATGGATCCCTGGTTCCCAAACCCATCAACATGGGCCATTACGCGACTGGTGTGATGAACATTATGCGAGTGAATGTAGAAATGGTGGTTAAAACCAATATTTCTAAAAGGTCAGGTCCGGAAATTCCCTCACTTGAATCGGGAACCTTTTAGCCCATTCCTGCTCAGGTTTGCGGTCGAGCTGCACATATCTGATTAATAAGCTTCCAGGCACACGGAGCAAGCTTGCACTTTTGACGAACGTGGCAACCAATAAACTCGTAACTTACCGCTTCTTTATTAGTTCTGCACACACCTTGACCTGTTCAATTGTTTTATATATTTTATTATTTTATTGTTTCCCTTCAACGTGACTTTACCGAAAGAGCTAAGAATATCTGTTCAAAACATGTTTACATTCAAACTTTGCAAACAATGATCCTGGCCTAATAAATCCAGGTCACGAGAACAGAAGCAACATTTAGTTTGTAAAGTTTCCAAGTGATATCAATTATATCAACTGTACCGTACCTACATTTTATTGCGATTAAGTCGATCTTTGAACGAGCATTTGTCATCCGCCCTTCAAAAGGCGAATGCAAATCTTCGAGTGCTCACGTAGTGTCAAGATTTGCATGCACAGTAGATTCCTCAAACACCGAGTAACGCTTCAATTCACTCGTTCATTCGTTAATGTAAAAAAAAATCCGAAGGGTACCTAATAAGAAATCAGTCCTGTATTTATTTAGTTCGTTTTCAAGCACAATCGCTATCAGGGAAACAATTATTAACTGGATGAACATACAGCGCCCCTGCATATATCGAGACAGCTTCCTTGATGGGGACTTGAACACTAATAAAGTGAACACTAACAAAGTGAACACATTAACGAAGTGAACACAAGACGGAAGGTGGTTGTCCGAGGCGATCTACCCGCGAGCTTGCTTCTGTTGGTCAAGCATCGCCTCACAACGAAGTTGCTACACCAGGTACATTTGTTTGTTTATTATTTGTTAATTAAATCTATATTTGCAACTCAGCGGCAATGTCATAATACAAATCATGTAAAGTGTTCGAGAATTTTTTTTTAAAAAAGCAAGCGGCTCCCTGCTAGAATGGACATTCTGGCGGTGCGTGTCACCTGTTTACAGCCTTGCTGAACCAGTGATGGAAATTCCACATTCCTATGGCAGGGGAGAGTCTCTGTTTGAAAAAAAATCACGGTTGACTTCCCCACAAAGTGATGATCATTTTATAGACGATCTCCCCCCCCCCCCCCACAAAAAAAAGAAGAGATGGCTAGGCTGGGTCATTCCCCAACCAAGTCATAGAACTCGCAAACATTCGATTGCACCGTCGCTTGCACTATATGCTGCAACGCAACTGTAAAATCACTCCGTGCGATAGCAAGTTCGCTACCAATTGAAGACATCTGATTGTGGGATGCGATAGGAAAAGAGAGCTGATTACAAGGACAGTTATTGAGGGCAGACCAGGATCGATATGACGAGAGAGGCAGATGAACAAGTTGGAGCGCTTTTGGAAAACTAAACTTACAAACGCAAACACAAATGTAAGTTGAATCCGTATCTTTTGATACGGCAAAGAAAATGCCAAACTTTGAACCTGGTGCATCGGACACAAAAGAGGCGTGCTAAGGTTAGACATCATATAGACTTAAAACGTGGTTTTGGGCAGAACACTTCACTTTTATTAATATATTGTCAGGTGGCCAAGATTAATTAAGGATCAGCAGCCAAAGTAAGGAATGCACAAGAACGTCTCACGCGGTGGTGGAGTGAAGAGGTCGGCTCGTGTACACGTGGCCGACGATGGGTTGCATCGCAGGAACGCGACACCTTAGGGAGGCCTTCGTCCAACAGTGGATTGATCTTGGCTGATGCTTGATAACACATGATTGGTCGACGAATTAGCCTAACGTACCAGGTTTTGGAAGACCCACTATCTTCTGGGTGCATTTGAAAACATACTTTGTTCAACTGTATTTTAATCAAATAAAATTACCATCCATACAAATACGTGCACAAATTAATTTAAAGCACATCAATTGGAATTTCAACTGACCCCACTGTCTTTTGAGGTTTCAGACTCCCAAGAGCTTCCACTACCTCTTCTGTGGTTATAGTCTCTTGCGACAACTTGATGTACCTCAACCATTGCACATTCAGCAACTTCTCAAAGTACTCTTTCCATCTCTTTCTAACCTTTATATCATCCAAGATTGTTCGTCCTTCTCTGTTCTTCACGAGATGCACACGGTCGATGTCCCTGGTCTTTCTCTCTCTGGCTCGTACCATCGTATCGCATCATCTGCCGTCAAGCTTCTGGCAGAGTTGTGCAAACGCTGTTGCCTTTGTCATTGCTACCATTCGGTCTGCCTCTCTTCTCGCTGCCAGGTATTCATCCGGATGGTTCCATCTCTCTCTCTTTCGTGTTCTGTCACTTCTTTTTCTCTCTTGTGCCTTTTGCACTTGATCACTCCACCACCGTGCATCCTTCTGTTGCATCCATCTAGCTTTGCTCACTCCCGCTGGACTACCGGCTACTTTCAGTCTTCCACTCGCCAATTGTTCCCACATTTCATTCGCGCTCCTCCTAGGCATTACGCTTTTTTTAAGTTCTCCATAGCTTGCCTGCAGACGTTTTCTTTCTCATTGTTTAGTCGCCACCACTTCACCCTGCTACAGTTATTTTGTCTCACCTTCCTCTCCCTAACTCATTTCACTACGCAATCTGCCACCAGTAGTCTATGTTGTGCAGTCAAACACTCACCAGGGATCACTTTGCAGTTCTTCACTCCTTTCAGGCGCTTCCTCCTCACTGAAATAAAATCTATCTGGCTCTTCACCTCTCCACTCTGGTAGGTCATCAGATGTCCCCCCTGCTTTTGGAAGTAGGTAGTCATCACTGCAACATCATTTGCCTTGGCCATTCGAAGCAAGTCCTCTCCTCCCCCCCTTCCTACTGCCATATCTGCATCCTCCATGATTTTTTTCATATCCGTCCTTACCTCTTCCCATTCTTCAATTTAAGTCTGCGCCCATCATCAGTTTAATTTAGCGGTAAGCTCTGAAACTCCTGATCTAAGCTCTCCCAAAATGCATCCTTCTCTTGCCCACCGCAGCCCATCTGGGGGGCATACACACACACCACGTTTACAAGTACTAGTCTGACTATGATCAGTCTATCATTCACTTTTCAGACTTCCACCACCTTTGTCTTAATCTCCTCACTCAGCACAACTCCAACCCCATTTCGCCTTGCTGTGGTTCCATGGTATAACAATTTAAAACCACAGCCATTCGCTTTCGCTCCGCTGCCTTTCCATTTTGTTTCCTCAAGCAGTCCGCTAATTCCTGATCTTTTCCTGTCATTGTTCCAATATTCCATGTGGCCAACCTTATCTTATAGTGTATTCTTTTATACTGCTGCCTCCAACTTCATTATTGTAAAGTAAATGTGCCCCAGGTTGGTGCAAAGCATCTTGAAAATATAATAACATTTTAGATTATCTGCAAATCCAAACTCTTGCATTGTAGCTATTTTAGCTTTAGCCCGCCTTTAATTCCATGTTCACCCAATACAAACTCGGATACAACCTCATTGATGACCACGTGTTAAGGTCTGCACGGCGTATTAGTGGGCGGGGGGGTACTTATTTAAATTCTGCGCAAAAACTTAGCAAAGGGCACAGGAGCAGTTCAGATAATCGTCAACGATGTTGGCAGCGAATGAGAATCGTCGCCGGTTTTTGTAGGAACACATTGCACCCGGACACTGTCTAAGCAACCTTCAGAGACGTTTGGGGCACGTGCAGTTAGCACACGAGGGGGTAATGGTGGCGGGCAGTAACAAAGCCAATAAAACCCACCTTATACCCTTTAATAGACTGTTGGGGCAAGTGCTGTTAGCGAGCAGACACACACAAGTTCCGCACAATTGTATTCATATGGGAGACACGATCAAGATGATAAACTACTGACTATTCTGATGTTCTATTGGGTGATGAGAGTCGAGCAAACATGAGCTCGCCAGCATTCCTGCACCGAACCGTGCCTCACTCAACAGGCGCTCATCGCCGCGTTTATCATTTGGGCACTTTGTTAAAACGGTTGTGAAGCACGTACCACCCTTGATAATTGCGTACGTGGACTATTTGCCCACTTTGCTTTGAATTAATGAGTAACGTCGAGTCAACCCTGCAAATGAGATAAGCCGAGCGTTTATCAATGCTGCAGCGCCGCAAGTCATTTATAAAAACAAAACAAAGAGCTTCTGCGCATTGGACCAATTTCCAGTGACGTTTACAGTAATCGTTTCACCGATTGATCAATAAAAGCCTTGACACAAGTTACCGATTTGATTATATCACTAGGTGACGTGTGTGTGGTTGTTGTCGTGGTTAGCTTAAAGATACCCCCCCCCACCCCCGCCGATAAGAGGCTGTTTGGGGCAAGCGCTGTTCGCGAGCAGCATCTATGAAGGTCGGCACGGCTCACGAGGGGTTGGGTGGCCAGCACCACGTGCCCGGTTAGCTCAGCACTCGTTGACCTGGGATTGTTGCCTGGCCACGGGCAGGGCAGCAGTGCCAACGTGGTAACCAGTCCCGGGCTCACCCCCGCGCCTCTGGCCAAGCCAACACTGAGAGTGAAGTTTGTGCAAACAAGTCCCGGGGAGAGCCTCGCGGCACGGCGAGAATCTCATCCAGCAGTGGATTTTTTTTTTTACAACCACGCAAATGTTTCTCGCAATAATCACCCGGAACACGCATTCCGTTTCTGAAGCTCACCGGCACGTGGGAGATAAACGTTGCATCAGTGAATGTTGTAACTCACTTCGCACCGCACTTAGCCAACCGTGATCATCGTGGAGGTGGGATTAGGAACGCACATAGCTAACCGTGCTAAAAAAAGAAGAAAACAAGTTGGACATTGTGCCAAACACAACCCCCCCCCTAAAAAAAAAACACGTGGAAGAGCGATTTTTAAAACAGTGTCGGCCCATCGGACGATTGCACTTTCTGCAGGTCTCGTAACCAGAATCATTTGCACAAATTCTGGCCTCGCCATGAACGTCTCGGGTCTCCTCACCACCAGCGTCAGGCTCTCGCCTCGGGTTCACCAGCCTCTCGGTGCCAATGCAACAACCGCCTTGGGTCAAGTCAACGTCAGTGCATCTGGCTGCTGCTCATCGAGTGTGCAGCAGAATTCGTACGCGTGGATGGCTAGTCAACACTTCACGTGGAGATGTCAAAAAGTGCATATTGCGCGTTATCTGCTGTGACGCATTCTGAGCGTAATAATAATAAATCTACACTTCGAAAGACCCGAGGTTGAAAAGCATTTAGTGCATACACCAAACGGAACCTCATGGTGCAATCAACGCTTATCTGAACAGCCATGCCATTTTCTCTAAGATCAGATAATATTGTGATAATGACACCACTCCCCCCCCCCGTCCTCCTCGCCATGTGGACTATTAAACACAGCATCGCGAATGCTTGCATGATTACTTGCAAATAAGTCACAGGGCCACCGATGACTGGGTTTGTGACAGAGTTGTATGCACAGCTGTCATCTCGATGGGTCTGTTGCCTACGCAAGCCATTCGCAGCGGTAGAGGCATCCCGTGTCGGTGACGCGACGATTCATGCCTTTATGGTCGAAATGTCTCAACCATTGTTGCAGTTCCACAAATTAGGCAGGTCAAAAGTTCGTAATCATCCCAGTAATAAATAACTGGTGTCAATTGCTCTGTTTAGCTAATGATTTTTTAGAAAATAGCGCTTATTTATATCATGGGTCAATGGTAAAGCCAAGCGGCTTGCAACGGAAAGGTTACGAGTTCAAATCCTGGAGCGGGGGTTCGAGTCTGCCCATTATCCAGCTGGGTCAAATGGCGAAGAAAAAAAAGAGTCGCACTTTGTGGCAAAGTAAACAAGTGGCCGACTAATGGGGAGAGACTCAAACCCACGAGAGGAAAGTGGAATTTCAACGACTGGCCTCAGGGTTGTACGACAGGAGAGAGGCGCTGCCTCAATGCTCAACTGAGCAGGACATCGCTTTGACGTCAATTTGTTTTGAGTTATGGGAATGGGTCAACGGATTGACACGCACATGAAATGGAATGCACAGTCACCATGCCAGCATATGATGGAATCATCCATTTGGGTACGTCTGACAGTGGATGCGTTTTAAAAGTTCTCCCTTACAACAGGTGGAGAGTTGATATTTGAATTCCAGTCCTGAAAGTCGCTCAAGTAAAGCCACTTCATGACGATGACACACGTGGTTACTGAACATCTTTACGGCGTCCGAAATGTATGTCAGTAATCGTAGAAATGACCGCTTGTAAAATATAAGGCTGCTTGGTCCACACCTTGTTGCCACTTATCTCAAAAACTGTAGTCAAGCATGCTGTGAAAAACAAGCGATATCGTCTCCTGCTGATAACCCATCAGATAGGGGCATTGCTTGATACCGCTCAGGGTGAGGAAACTATTGCGCAATATTTGGAAAATGTGCAGATGTATTGTCTGTTTTAGAGACCGTTGTATTTTCGTGTTCTGTAGAAGTTGCATACTTTATTACAAAGCTACATTCCACTACACTTACTAAACAAACATTTGTTAAAAAATTACCCAAATTATTGGGCCTTCGCAGATGCAACTCATTGGTTAAAGCAACGCATATTTCAAACACCAGACCAATGGAAGATTATCACGTCGACGAGATGGAATCAGGCGCGTGCGACCAATGCTCGGACGGAGGGGATGGGTTGACCAAGAACAAAGGAGCCGTGGTGTACGGCGTCTACGACACCCCTCCGTGGTACCTGTGCATTGTACTTGGCCTACAGGTGAGCCGAACAAAAACAACACACAACACTGCTGTGGCACTCGCGATGAAATCTGCCGGTGCAAGGATGCATCCTGTTTTACCTTGGGTGCGATTGTAAACAATAGCCATATTCAACATGAGTAACATCTTATCGGCATAATAATTGGTTAATTGCAGCTCAAAGACTCAGTCCAAACATTGCGTGTGGTGGAGTTATATGTCCACGTGCTCGGCATTTGAAGGCCTGGAGAACAGAATCGGTCATTTCGCCGACAATGTGTCCAGGGAGGCAGTTCCATATGCAGACAGCAGAGTGAAGGGAGCTTCTTTCCACGGAGCAATGTTCTGGCAACTGGGGGGGGGGGGTGGTGGGGGCGGGGTTTGGCAGGGTTGTGCATAATCCAGTGGCACGGCATCTTTCATATGGGAGGGTGGAAGCACGCCACTGAAGTTTTGTGAGGGGCAGCCGTTGGTGTGGATTTGTACTTCATGTAGAGCGGTCTTAGCACAAGGCGATCTACGTGGTTTTTAAAGCGGTAACAAGGAACGAGGTATTCTTGGTTCCTTCGCTAAAGTCACGTTGAAGGGAAACGACAAAATAATAATAAAAATATGAAACAATAAAATTGTGAGAATTTTTTAATTAAAAAAAGTGTGAATTTAAAAAATAATACAAATATAAAACAATAAAATTGTGAGACTTTTATTGTTTTATATTTTTATTATTTTATTGTTTCCCTTCCACGTGACTTTACCGAAAGAACCAAGAATATGAATCCTTGCAGTCACGAAAGCTTTAAATAAAAATTTAAGGAACGAGGTGTTGAGTGACCGTGAAAGAGGGGCACGTGGAGGGGTGGGAGGTCACGAAAATACCAGCGGAGGCAATGGGCACCAGCGAAGAGGTCAGCTTTAAAATTAAGAACGAAAGATGTGAGGACTGCCGAATGCAGCGGTTCTTAACGTTTGCTGCAGCCCTGCACCCCTGTGGTTCTCAATCATGAAAAATGTTGAATGTGAATAAATACATGGGCTTTGGTGAAACAAAGTTGTTGCACTTAAGTGCCCGTGCTTAAAATGTTTTTCGATTAATTACCTTCTAAAAAAAAAAAACATTAGCATGTCTCGCACCCCCAGAAAGGGCATCCCGCAACCTCAGAGGGTGCGTGCACCGCAGGTTAAGAGCCACTGGATTAATGTGAAGGGGAAGTTTACTTCAGTGTAAGGGGTACAACGAGTGCGACAAATCGAAAATGATCAAGTGATATATTGTTAAGCCCCACGTGTCAGAATATAGGGTTTTTTTATATATATTCGGGAACACGTATATGCAAATACAAAAAAATGCTCATGCAGTGATGGTGGCTTTTAGGAGGATCCTCCATTTAAAAATGCAGACACTCCTACAGGAGATGCCAGATAGGATTAACGGAACGAACTACAGAATGGGAATGGAGAGAGTATAGGATTGATCGAGGTCCATGACTGCCTTAGCTTATTAAATTATTCTGTTGGGTTTTTATTTACCCCGCCACACACGGCCCATAACAACCAACTAGGCTGTGCCAATTCATAGTTCTGAGTGGGACATGATGTGGGTGGGGTTTAAGAAACATGCACCAGTTTCAACTGCCGCGTCACAGGAGCGAATCGAACCGGATTGCGAGTGTGATGTGCCAGCCACTCCACCAGCGCAGCATCCCCAAGGGCAACATTAACAAGAAGATGTAAATTAAGTGATGAAAAATAAGAAAAGTCTTTAACTCATTCTGGCAAGAAAACGGGTCTGCATTACTCTTTGGTTCTTTCGGTAAAGTCACGTAGAAAGAAAATAAATTAAATAATGGAGTACGACGTTTCGATTGCAACACAAGCAACCGTCATCAGGTAGAACTGAATTTGAGAGAGAGAGACAAAACACAGACACGGAGACAAACAGACAGACACACAAGCAGAGAGAGAGACAACACAGACACACAACATAGACACACAACATAGACACACAACATAGACACACAGAGAGAGACACACAACATAGACACACAGAGACCCAATGCCTCTGTGTCGAGGGCTTAAATAGAGAGAGAGGTGGTTCTGCTGGTGGCTGCTGCTGGAGCAGATAAATAAGCATGTCACTGATTCCACCGCTAAGCGACCTAGGGAAAGAAGATCGAATGGCCCTATGAGAGCCTGGTAACATGCAAACAAAGATGCTCTGATAACGTGTACATCGTCTTCTTCATGGCCTTGTCCGTGTGAGGCCAGAGAACGCCAAAAGTGGCGAACAGTACAAAGACCGTCCAAGTATCAGAACACTTACAGTTCGGGTCGAGCAGTTATATCAATGTTGACCCGAGCTATGTGTTTTGATACTTGCATCACCTCCCCTTTTCACGTTCTCTGGCCTAATACTGATGCGACCGGGCCATGGAGGAGGCCGTCTCTGGTGTAGGCCAATCCTTTTCAAAGACAATGCAAACATTATCAGAGCATGTTTTGCCACGGGTATGTGTGGTCAATGCGGACTTAATGCCTTGGGGGTTTTTATTTGGTGTTTGGACATCTTAGCCACCGTTTGATTGTCAGAAAGTTTAAAACCCATTTGTTATTTTTCGTCATTTTGGATAATGCCAAAGAGGTCCCCCGCAAATGAAGTGAACATAACACTGATGTCAAGAACACGTGACGCTCTGCTCTGTTATTAACCTCCTCCCCCTCGTATCACGGGCGGCGATGGTGGCAGCAATTCCTGACGGCATTCGGCACCATCGTGGCGATCCCGTTCATCCTCTCGGAGCACCTGTGCATCAGCCACGACGACGTGGCGAAGGCTTACCTCATCAACACCATCTTCTTCGTGTCCGGCCTGTGCACTCTCCTCCAGGTCAACTTCGGCATTAGGTGCGGGGTGGGCGGAGCTGGGCGGGGGGGTCATCGCTCATCTTTGCCTTTCGTCAAAACGGACTCTGCTAGGGGGTGGGTGGGGGGGGGGCAAGGAAGTGGCAAAAATCTTTAGTATCTTCGCGTGACGCTCGTTACTTCACCCTGGGAAATCGGCCCTCGAATGGTCGAGGTGACACATCCGCACATCCGACGCGATTTGACGAGAGGATTGGCCCCGAAAAAGGACCTCTTTGCTGGATACCAGGTGATGATCTCGTATAGCCAATGAAGGGGGAACTGTAAGGAGATGCCGACTGGGTTGAAACCGCTAACTGGGGAACAGGTTTACAAATTACGGGCGGTTGCGGTGGCAACTTGGCGCTCAGACTTTAGAGCCACCTCCGACCGCCTTGTGAAGCTGAGCAATGCGTACGCGGGTGATCTACTGAATGCGCCAAAAGCGTGTGGTATCAGAAGAGACATCTCTCCACAAATCAACCAGCGTGCGGTGTTTTTCCCATATCGTGCCAGAATGCTCTGCGATCCAGTCAACGTTTTTGCCACGCGAAATTTGACACTTGTTTCATGTAGATATCAATGTACATCAAGGGGACATTTTTTGCATATTTGACTATTGGGGGGGGATGTGTGTCCCCCCCCCTCCAATATTAAAATATGCAAAAAATGGGGGGGGGGATGTGCCCCGCCCAATATATATAATAATTACGGCCTTGATGTACATCTAGCCTCGCATGCGATATAATACACGTTGCCTTCTCTTGCAACGATGCCGTTTTGTTGGAGGGTACTCGTCCGACACCTAGTGGTAGACAACTTCAGAACAGGCGACGTGGAGGAGGAACATTTGGTATGGCATATGAAATGGCCAACATATCAACCACGCCGTTCAAACTTCTAATGACCACACCTTGCTCGACTACTAAAACATTATTATACATTAAAAAACAAACTCCTAGTATGGCTTTAGAAGAACCCCTCATCCACACCGATGGAGAGGGGCAAACCATGTATAGAAGAACCTCTCATCAGTGATGTAGGAGGAAAAGGAAGCTCAAAACACTCGCACCCAAAGCACTCACACCTGTGGTCCTAGCGCACTTCCGAACTCACGCTCTCGGATAACGCAACCATGGCCATCGTTGACCCTTGGAGGCCGTTTTGCCCATCGATCTGGATATGGGGGGGGGTGTGGTAACGTTCCCGCTGCTATCCGCCATCCGCCACAGTCGTGCAATTCACGCTAGGTTTCACACTCACGATGTCACCCGTCTGCTCTCGGTGCGTCTTGAGGCTTCTGGGAGACGTTGGGCTTCCAAAACCCTATTCGATCACACACGCTCCTCTTGTAAGGCAGTATTACCATCGGGTGCTCAGTGGTGACCATGCCTAGTCACCTCGGCACTCCAGTAGATGGCACTCCTCGCCATCACCAGCTCTGTGTGGCCTCTAAGGCAACCTTGAAGCTACCTGGACACGGGTTGAGATCCTCTCGGGATGCGGCACACACAGCAATGCTGGATCACCCCTTTCTCATTTCACAGGTGCCACAATGACCACGCTGGGCAGTACAGGGTGGCCCAGCTGTCTCGTGATTCCCAATTAAAAATTATCTAAAACTTTTAAGCAAGGTTTATTTAAAATAAAAATAAAATAATATGCAAAGTAAAAAAAAGTTTGGAGTGTCAACTCATTTGGAGTTCACAAGACATCTGTACCACCCTGTACAATGTTGGACTATTGACGGCACGGTTCAAACAGTGACAGGGGATTATGAGCTTTGTAGGCTCTGCGACAACGCTTATAGCACACCCCCCCCCCCCCCCCCCCCCCCCCTTACGATGGCGCTAGAGTCCACCGGCCTCATTGTTGAACTTTTGCGCCCTCTGTTGCCAGCCGCGCTAATCGAGTGGCTACTAACCCCAAGCTGCTGTAACGTCCTTTCCCGACCTCGTCTCTCATCCGCGCCCAGACGACCATCGAAACACAACACACCAGGGGGGACTCTTCATTTACATCCCTGGCGTGCTGTACAACAAATCACAATTTCAGAATCACATGGCCACCCATGGCCTCTTTGTGACGCAAAGCCGCGCGACTTCTACAGCATTCAGCAACGATGTTCCCCGTGGTCCGCTCCTCTCTCCGCTGCTCGCTGGATGTTGGGAACAGCTGCTCGTGGCTGATGTCCTTCTGCTGTTGTCTCTCCCCGCATCTCAATCACGCGCGTGTGTGTGTGTGGGGCTGGGGGTCCCTTATATACGAAACTTGGGCCAGATTTGTCACGGTCCATTGGTTATTTCCCCGGTAAATTAAAACCCCTGTACCTGTACTGAAGACAACAACGCACGCGCGTTACACCACCACGCGTTCTGAATGAACCTCAGCAGCGCACGCCCATCCCTCTGCGAGTTACATTTGACTCGAAGCATCGTGCTGCACCGCCGATGAGTCGATGAACGAGGCTCATAGATTCCGTCATCACCTGGCAAACACGCAAACCTGCTCTTCATCAGTCAGTTCACTACAGTAGGCCGCGCTTCACACTCTCACCTGTAAATAATTTCAATATTACGCATCCAGCCTTTAAAGTGTACCGCGTTAGAGTGCGTGTGTGCTGCGTGTGTGTGCGTGCCGCATTAGGTTGTGCGTGTGTGCTGTGTGTGTGCTGCATTGGCTGTGTGTGTGTGCGCCGCATGCGTGCTGCATTGGCGGCCTGTGTGTGTGCACTGCATGTTAGCTGCATTGGCTGGTTTGTGTGTGTGTGTATGCACTGCATCTGTGCTGCGTTGGCTGGGTGCGTGTGCGGTGCGTGTGCGCTGCATTGGCTGTGTGCAATGCATTCGCTGTGTGTGTGGTGCATTGCCTGTGTGTGTGTGTGCGCGGGTGCCTTACAAAGGCTGCCCATCCTGCAGGGTGGCACCTTTGCGTTCGTGACGCCCACGGTGGCGCTGCTCTCCCTGCCCGAGTGGAAGTGCCCCGAGACGCCGCTCAACATCACGAGCCCCGAGCACGAGGAAAACTGGCACTCGCGCATGCGGGAGGCACGCTCGCTCGCTCGCTCACGCACACAAAGATCCCCCGTATAGCCTTGACAGACTGTAGGGGCAAGTGCTGTTATCGAGCACCTATGAAGTCCGGAACGGCACACGAGGGGGTGCGTGGCCAACACCACGCCCGACCGCCTTTGTCTCCCCGCGGCGATGGTTTTACACGTCGCGCCAGGTACGCTCGCTTCAGGCTGAGTCGACCTAGGGGAGGCCCAGGACGGGTTCAGATGATCGTCACCGGCGTTGGCCGTAAGTGGGAATCGAACTCGGGTCGTCGGGTTCGTAGCACGGCGCGCCAACCACTGCACGACAAGCACAGTTCGGGCTGGTTATTGGGGAACGGTGTCAGAATGGTGCTGTCACCTTGACACGCCAAGCATGTGGAGACATCGAATTGTACTTTTGCAGCCAAGAATACGTCTTTTGGCACATTGTCAACCCTTTCGATTTCTGATGACGTGCACGCCGGCGTGCGTACGTGCACGCTGGCGTGCACGTACGTCATCGGAACGGAATCGAAAATAAAAGGGCATGCGGGAGAGCGTGTGGCACAACTGGGCGCCAGCTGTTATATAGTGCGGTCGTGTCACTACAGTTCTCCGCGGTGATTACAATGTCTTAAAATAAAACAGCAGCGCCACGCCTCTCTAAATAAAATTAACGCGCGTTCCGAAATTCAGCGGTGAACGGGACCCACCCTTGCAACTTGCAGACATCTCGGAACGGGAAAGGGTTAATATGTAATTCCATTCCTTTTATACGTCTGGCTACTGGCATCTCTCAGTAAGGAGTGGGGGAGGGGGGGTACAGAAAACGCTCAACGTTTTCCATGCCGTCCAGTTCAGCCATTCCTTTGCCCTTCCGCAGGTCCAGGGCGCCGTGCTGGTGGCCTCCACCGTGGAGATCGTCCTGGGCTTCTCGGGCCTCGTGGGCTTCGTCCTGCGCTTCGTGGGACCGCTGTGCGTGGCGCCGACCGTGTCCCTCATCGGCCTCTCGCTCTTCAAAGTCGCGAGCAACGACGCCGGAACGCACTGGGGGATATCGGCCATGTGAGCGCGCGCGGATAATGTCCGTCCTCGCGACTGGGATCATCCTCACAGCAGCAGCAGTAGCAGCAGCGGCAGCAGCAGAGGCAGCGGCGGCTTTTGGGCTAACTGTCGAGCAAGGACGGTCAACCGCGTCGCGCGTGCTTTCACGTGCGCTTGTTCTGGAACGCTCTGTCCTTCCGATATTAAAAAGCCACTGGAAGCTGTGCACTTAAAAACTCATTTGTTCGGAACTGCTTTTTGCGATTCGTTTGTTGCCCTCTTCCCCCGCCGCTCCTCCGATTAGCACGGTTGGCCGTGTACGGTGCGAAAGAAGTGCAACGTGCACGCGATATTCAGGAAGCCACTAAAGCAGTGCACTTATAAATCTAGAATTAAAATCCATTTCTTTAGAACCGCTTTTGCCGTCTAGTTTGTTGTCGGGCACTGCGAGTGAAGGGAAAGTGGAAATTCAAATGGAGCGTGGGGGTTCTTCTCTCGCGAGGCTCAGAAGTAGAATGCAAGTCAGGCAAATTTGGGGGAGCAAGTCAGAAGTGTTGGGGGGGTGGGGGGTGAGACCCGAGCGCACACCAGCGAGCCAGGGAGAACTGCGAGAAAACACGGGACTGTTGTGTCCTTCTCTCCGCCGGGGATGCAGGACCATTTTTCTCATCGTGCTGTTCTCCCAGTACATGAAGAATCTGGCTTTGCCAATCCCCGCCTACAACAAAGGCTGTCGGATAAAATGGTTCCAAGCATTCAAGTTATTACCGGTAAGTTTTTTCATTGTTTGTTTATTTTTGTTCTTGCCCGTGAATACTGTCTTGATTGTGATTTAGTACCATGGAATAATATCACAGCTGTTTCAATCCTCTGCTCGATGAAGACTTCCACGTGCCCTTTCAGTCGTGGGGGTCATTTGACCACACTTCCCCACGCTGGGTAGTGTTGGTTGGTGAGGGAGGGTGAGCGTTGCTAGAACCGGATGAGATATCATTCAACACTGATGTTAACCGTGGCCAGGAATATAACTCGCACCACTGTTACCACTGCTCTCACCGAATGATAGCAGTTGGTCTTCCTGTATTCATATCAGAACTGAGTTTCAGAAAAAGTCTACTCGATACGTTTCTCCTGATTACCACTGATGAGAATTGCCCATTTCCAACCTTTTTTCTCAAGAAGACAGCTGTTTATTTCCCCATAAGTTGGTCCTCGTTGTATTGACCCCAGACAGGATGTATGTGTAGGCTAAGCTGAATCCTGACCATCTCGTGCCTATGACCAACGTTCCAGTACAGCTACCTCAACAAGAGGATGATCCTGGGAAAGCCAGGATGGGTGGCCCACCCTAGGCCTAAGCAGGCCCAGCTACAAATCCTCTCAGGTCGAGGCGGGGGGGGGCAATAGAGCTGTTTCGTGGGGGCCACCACAACAGTGAGGGAGAGTGAACTTGGGTTGGGCCAATCATGGGAACATTTGGTGGGGCATGGCCCATTCCGGCACCCTCTTAGCGCCAGCCTTGAGCCTAAGTGTCTGTCGGGCGGCTTTTTATTGTTACACGCTTTCTATTAACTCACTCTGTCTGTTGTTGATGTCGATCTTGTTGTATCCTCAAATATTGTAACTCAATTTTAACCCACTTCCCAATTTGGGTTATCAACTGTAAAACTTGGTATGCTTATGTCATACTGATGACAATGCTATATTCTATCGTAAAAAAATAAAAACAAATCTTTTAAAACAATCTTTCTATATGTTATGCTTCGGCTTGGTCTAATTGTCCACGCTCAACTGACGTTGGCTGTAATTGACCACGGTCTCTTACGTTGTGGCAAGCTTCGGGCCCACTTCCTGGAGTCGTGGAGTTCTTCCATTGCTAGTACGGTACATTTCATTAAAGCGTGTTTTAAAAATATATATATTACGTATTTGTGCTTGCGTGATTGCTGCAGGTGCTGTGTGTACGTACGTATGTTGAGCTTCTTTGGCACCGTACGTAGCCAACCGTGCTAATCGGGAGGCGTGGGACAGGTGCTACTGGCTATGGGCATCTCGTGGCTCCTCTGCTACATCCTCACGGTGTGCGACGTCTTCCCCAGCGACCCACAAGCCTACGGCCACGTCGCCCGCACCGACGTGAGGGCTGCCGCCCTGCAGAAATCGCCCTGGTTCCGATTCCCCTACCCAGGTGAAGCCCGGGGCAAGAGGGCTCATCGCCACCGGTGTGGAGACAGAACCGCAGTGTTAACGCTGACCGCTGCATTCATATTAAAGGCTCCTCTTTGGGGGGTTGGATCGCGTAAATATTAATGCGTCGTTAACCCACCACCACCCGACACAGACAATGTATTCGGATTCATCGCGTGAACAAAGCGTGCCAATTATCGTTTACTTGAGCACATCAGCGTGATGCGTGCACACTCCCAACATTTACAATTGTGCAACGACGTTTTGCTGGCGATTACAACCAGCTTCATCAGGCGATTTGCAAGAATTGTGAAGAAGTCTTCCTGCTTCCGCTCTTAAATAGCGTAAGATGATATCAACACTATAAAACTCTCAGTTGCAAATGTGAAACTGCTGTGTAAACACGAATCAGTGCACCGTTCGACACATTTGTCCACGGACCAAAACTCTGACCGAGGGTCTATCAACACCGCGGAGTATTTCGCCAATAAAAAATAGTTCAACGCAATATCCTGCCACCCGAACGCAGATGCCAATCCCAGACAGTCCGTGTCAAAAGTCCGAGCAGGTGGAAGACCCGAGTAACCACGGTGTTATTACCAATGCGTAAACAATAACCAATATCTAAAACACTAACCACCGTGAATTGTGTGTAAACACCAAGCAGAGTATCACGTGTGATCGCTCGACACCGTGGCCGATCGTACAGCACGTAATGTACAATTTGCAAAAAGCCCCCTCTAACAAACAATCACAAACAACCACTTAGTCTTTCGTACGGCTGATGTAGAAGCAGAGCAACAACCACAATTTCACATGAAGGTGGTCAAGCCCAGATAAACGAGTCAGGAGCAAGCGGAGTAGCGTATCGCTGTGATGTCTCCTTCGTATTTGTGGATCGGGGCATTGCGTTGTTATACGTTGTCACGGTCTGTTCTGAATGACACACAGTTGCGCACACCGGAGATTTGAATTTTCCATTTGTGCATCGGGGTATCCGAATCTGCCACGGTTTGTGCGGTGGATCCGATTTTAGGGTGGACCACTCATAGGTGAACCTGGAAAGAGAGAAACGCCTAACAAAGAATGGCTTAACGACATAAGAGATTGGTGCCAGAAAGATGTGGCCACTAATTCATATTCTTAGCTCTTTCGGTAAAGTCACGTTGAAGGGAAACAATAAAATAATAAAATATATAAAGCAATAAAAAATTACGTTTCGACCATAACACAAACGGTCGTCATCAGGTGTGTCGGTTTGCATTAATTAATTTATTTTCAAACGGTGTATTTATTTATTTGAAAAACGTCAGCGCCACGCGCAGCGATTTGGCAGTTTATTTAGAAGGACGAGTCCATCTATGTTCTGAAAAGAGGGGGGAGACCGTTAAAAAATAAATTAATTAATGCAAACCGACGCACCTGATGACGACCGTTTGTGTTATGGTCGAAACGTCATTTTTTATTGTTTTATATATATTTCATTATTTTATTGTTTCCCTTCAACGTGACTTTACCGAAAGAGCTAAGAATATGAATTACTGCAGTCACGAAAGCTTTAAATCAAAATGTGGCCACTACTTGATTATATTGGCACAAGGCAGAGGGAAGTGAAAACAAATGATGAAATGTGCAGTGGACATCAAACGGACGATCTGCCCATGGATCCGTGATGATGATGTGACTCATAGTGCGTGCGTGTGCGTCTATGCGTGCATTACTCCGGTGGGGAGCGGCAGCGTCGTGGTTAGCGCGAAGCGCCACAACCCCCGGCGACCGGAAATTCGATCCCCGCTCACGGCCAACATCCGCGACGATTTTTTTTAATCGGTCATGGGCCTCCCCTAGGTCGACTCAGCCTCAAATGAGTACCTGGTCCGGTGTGTAAACATCACCACTGGGGAGACAGAGGCGGCCGGGCGTGTTTGCTGGCCACCCACCCCCTTGGTGTGCCGTGCCGGCCTTCATAGGTGTTCTATAACAGCACTTGCCCCAACAGTCTGTTAAGGCTACACGGGGGATCTTTGCCTTTGTTACTCCGCAGGTCAGTGGGGTGCACCGACCGTGAGCGCCGCGGGGGTGCTGGGCATCCTGGCGGGGATCGTGAGCTCCATCGTGGAGTCGGTGGGCGACTATTACGCTTGTGCCCGCCTTGTGGGCGCTCCGCCACCCCCGCGCCACGCCGTGAACCGCGGCATCGGCATGGAGGGCATCGGCTGCCTGCTCGCGGGCGCCTGGGGCACGGGCAACGGCACCACCTCGTACAGCGAGAACATCGGCGCAATAGGCATTACCAAGGTGGGCGGGCGGGCGGGCGGGCGAGCGGGTGGGGCGAGGGTCGCCAAGGGTTTACCAAGAACCCGTAAGGATCGCCGAGGGTCCATGTAGAGCGCGTCAAGGGATATTTCTGTAGGTGTTGGGAATAGGGAGGAAGGTTTGTGGGGGAACGAATGAATACGCGTTTTCTCTGCCCAGCCCGATAGGTCTGGAGCGTGCCAAATGATCCTGAGCGCAAGATGGTGGGGGGACATGGGCATCGACCGATAAATGAAACGATGACGTTGCGTCTCAGCAAGCACGTCCATTCAAAATTACACGTTTGTTTTGTGTATACTGTACTGTATTTGCAGACCCTCATGTTTATGTGTTCCCGCCATGTACTGTTTGGGAGATACGTAGTAGGACGGACGGACTTCTTCGAATTATATTATATATCCTGTGTGGCTAGATCGATAATATGATGATCTCGTAAAGGCGCATAAACCATCACGTGCACTCCGGCCATCCTCGTAGCAGCCTGCAGCAGCGGATTATGGCTAGCCATCAAACAATGACAGTCACCACATCGCACGCTTTAACATGCGCTTCTGCGGCCGTCTGGAACGCTCCTCCTTCCGATATTAGTAAGCCAGTGGAGATGTGCACTTTTTAAATCTAGATTGAAAACTCATTTCTTGAGAATTGCTTTTCGTGTTTAGTTTCTTGTCCTTCCCCCGCACCTGCGTTTAGCGCGGTTGACTACGTACGGTGCAAAAGAAGTTCAACAGACAGAGACTACCCTCTGCTGCATTTGTCCCTGGTTCTTTCCGTAACCCGGTCGGATTCCAAATGCTCACTCCCATTCTGGCCCACTTCTGGCCCACTTCCACCCCTGACATGTATCATCACCGTCATCATTATCATCAGAAACGCGTTGGCGATGAAGGCCAAAACCGCATTCCACCGTGGCGTAGAAGGCTTCCCGACAAGGTTAGGCCAGTATCACGATAGATCTCACGAAACCACGGTTCCTTCGGCGGTCGACTGGACGATGCCGTGATGGAGAGAGGCAGGGCACGGTGTCCAGGAGGGACATCCTCCATTCGGGCAACGTGGCCAAACAGACGGAGGCGTTCTGAGCAGATGATGTCAAGGTATAAACTAAACATTTTATTTTCACCAGGTAAGGCCCACTGAGCTATACAGCACTTTTTTCAGAAGCGACCTGGCCATTAATGATAGCTCAACGAAGTGCCTTATCATCACGTGGATATTTAGAGCAGCCACACACTCTAAACGGATGCTGATTCTAAATGTGGAGGGAAAACCCAGAGGACCTGGAGACAAAATCCACGCGACCCCGGGGAGAACATGCAGACGCTAAATATACAGTGTCAGAGTCGGGGTTGAACCCACGACCTCCAGTATACCAGGCGAGGTAGTTAACATCTCGCCACCATATATAGTGACCACCAATGATTCATCATGACTGGTGAAGATTATCAAACTGGATGGGAACCACGAAGAAGGACCAGGGTGCACGGGAACTGCCATGGATATAACAAAGTCGTTTTGGACCACCAGGGCACACAGGGTTACCAAGGTGCATACGGACCGGCAATAATTCACCGAAGTGTTTAGAGATCACCAAGGTCTGCTTGAGTAAACCCAGTTCAGTCATGGGTGGCTTGAACCCAGATGTAAACTCAGGATCTCAGCAAAATATCTGGCTTCTCAGACACGGCGACTACGAGCCACCATCTGGAGACGTCAGCGATTATTATTTTTTTCCGGTCTCGTCCGCAGGTGGGCAGCCGCATGGTCATCGTGACGGCCGGATCCATGATGCTGCTGCTGGGCATGCTGGGTAAAGTCGGCGCCGTGTTCGTGACCATCCCCACGCCCGTCATCGGGGGCATGTTCATGGTGACGTTTGGCATCATCACCGCGATCGGCGTGTCCAACCTCCAGGCGAGCGACCCACGACGCGCGACTCGCAGCTCCTCGCCGTGGTTGTTTGAGTTGCGCCGCGCGCCCACTGTTCAGAACGATGTCCGACGTTTCGCTCCACATGCTGGGAGGTTATTTTTTTATATATATGTTTTTGTATTTCAATTAGGAGCCCGGTACAGAGCACAAACCGTGCTACGAGGTGGGGTGGTAGGGGGAGTTTAACAGAAAATCCACAGACCTCAGTCCCCAAAGGTATAGTTAACATCTCGCCACCGTGAGGTCAATTACCAAAGTGCTCCCATGTTCATCTGAAATGGTTGTTGAAGATCCCGCGGGGACATTGCTCACAACATTGAGGCAAGCTTCCAGGCTGGCGGCCCGCACGGTTCTAATGTTCACATCCTTTACAATTGTCGCGGCGAGTGCCGACTGGCACCACGCGGTCCAGTTGGCTGTAATAATTTGAAGACTTGGTTGTGAAAAGGCGCACAATTAAAAAAAAATAGTTCATGACAAATGGCTACGTGTGACTTTCCAAGCCTGGCTTCATTACTACTCCCTACAAAAAAAATGTGGTGAGTCATCGCTCTTCTGTAATATCTTGGCTCAATATGACTTTGATCTTTGGACATGTTCACATTTGACCTGTCCTGAACCACACGTGTAGACTTAACAGCTCGGTGTTCGCAGTCAATATTGTGACTCATTATTGATTTTGCTTATGTGGCCCGAATCTAAAAATATATTATGAATCTCACACGTATGTTTAGTTTTACATTGTATGCCCTTTTGTCAGTCCACCGCTGCACGAGGGCCTCCCCACAACACGTGGTTCATGTTTTTTTTTTGTAACTCCAATTCACCACGCCGGTCAATGTGAGTAGCATAAACATTGGAGCATAGAAGTGCAGAACTGTGCAACGATTAATTTTGCTGCAATGCCCTCTGCTGCGTGCCGCATAGCCCCGCAAAGCGTTTGATGACCCATCACACATCCAAGTACAGATTGCAGATGTTTGGTTTTTACGTATGTGCATGTATGCGTGTGTGTGTGTGTGTAATCCTCTCTGCTCGGGAACGGCACTTGCCCCAACAGTCCGTTAAGGTTATACGTGGGGATCTTTGTGTTTCTTTCCTCTCTGTGGTCCCATGCATGAGTCTGTACACTTCGTCTTCCATCTCAATCGTCGTTATCATCGTATTTAGCTCCTGCGGCAATGCTGGGTGGGGGAGCGTGGCTCCCAACCAGCAGGGCATCCATCGGCCCTCTAAAACTACACCAATGTGAGAGAGCAGGGAGCGCAGTTTGTGCATCTGCCACTCGCCGACGTCTGTGAGCCCAAAACATATGTGCTATCCGGCAGGGTGACATCCTGCCGGATAGCATTTGCCTTAAAGTGCACCTAACCTGGCACGAGTGCCGCGAGAACATCACTTAAATTTGGCGGTTGTTGTTGTCGTGCGCTTACGTGCACGGGCTTGTTTGTGCAGCAGTGCCGAACTAAGCTAGTGCGGGGCGTATAGCATATGTTATGAAGGGGCCCTAAATAAAAAAAAAAAAACACCAAAATATTGAAACACAAATTCGTAACTTGCATAGTAAAGTAATTTTATTTTTTCATTTTCTCTGCAGCCAAATCGCTAACCTTAAACAGCCAGTCGTTCATAAAAGTTGAAGGCGGTATAGTACTATAGTAATAGAGCAAGTGCAGAATCAATGAACCGGAATTGATAGCTTGAAAGCATTTAGAGCGGGGCCCTTGAGAGTGCGGGGCCCGCAGCGACATATGTAGCTACTTGTGCTACTGGGATAATGCGGCACTGGTGTGCACGTGTGGTTGGTGGTGGTCGTGGTGATGCCGTTGTGCTTGATCGCCTTCAGTTTGTGGACATGAACTCAACGCGAAACATCTTCATTTTTGGCTTCTCCACGTTCGCTGGGCTGGCTGTGCCTGGGTGGCTCATGGACAACCCCGATATTCTCCAAACCGGTGAGGCCCCCTCTCACGGACACCGCAACGCGGACGCATTGGCAGTGGTGCGCACACGTAAATCACAAACAACTCAACGCATCCCTCTATAACACCGTGGCCTTAAGGGGGGGGGGGGGAATAATATACAAAAAGGTGACACTTGGGGCGCACGATCCTTTCTTTATAGCACGTGAATAAGAAGCCAGCGAGATAGAGTGAATGAGGATTCGGACAATGCGCTTGCGTACACCCATGGTTACGAAAAAGTGATTTGCGTGTAGACCACGTGTAAAGCGAGGAGTTGTCGTCTTCTGCTTTGCAGGCGTCCGAGAACTTGACCAGATCTTGCAGGTGCTGCTTACCACCAGCATGTTCGTCGGTGGCTTCCTCGGGTTGCTGTTGGACGTCACCATTCCAGGTCAGAGATTCTGAATCGTACAATCAACAATACACACAGTCCTTTTGTAATCTGCTGCTGGATTAACTGCCATGCTCCGGAATGCTGGTCGGTTCTCGCTGGTCAATAAGTGGGGAACCAGGACCGGTTCAGAAATTGAACGCCGTTGATGTTATCCCTGGCCGGGGTCGAGCTCGGCTCGCTATGGTCACGGTGACATTCGCTCGTCACCCCACCACCGATCCACCGGAGTAGTCGTAATAATAATGTCCTTTCCCCAGTGCCGGATTATCCTAGCAGCAAAAGTAGCAAAAGTAGCTGCTACATAAGTAGTAGCTACATATGTAGTAGCTACAGGCCCCGCACTTTCGAGGGCCCCATGCTAAATGATTTCAAGCCATCAATTCCGGTTCAGTGATTCTGCACTTGCTCTATTACTATAGTACTACACCGCCTTCAACTTTTATGAACGACTGGGTGTTTAAGGTTAGCGATTTGTCGTATTATCTGGCTGTATATCAAATGAAAAAAACACAATGACTTTATTATGCAAGTAAAACAAATTGTGTTTTTATATTTTCGTGTTATTTATAAATGCAGGACCCCTTTGTAACATATGCTACAGGCCCCGCACGAGCTTAATCCGGCACCGAGCCAAAAGCCGCTGCTGTTGCTGCTACTGCTGCTGCTGCTGCGAGGATGATGACCGGAGTTTGCGTGATGATGATGATGGTGGCCGTGGTGGTTTACGCTCCCTGACGACATCGCCGAGGCATTGTGCGGTTTCCCGCAGGCACCGAGGAGGAGCGAGGGCTGCTCAAGTGGCGGAGCGCCGGCCACTCGGCCGCAGACGGTGGCGACGTGGGGGCGAGCAGGGCTGAGCGCCTCGCGCGCGAGCAGAAGTTCTACGGCCTCCCGTTCCGCTTGGACGCCCGTCTGCCCAGGTCATGGGCCCGATGGCTCCCGTTTTGGCCGCCCGGTGTCGACGTGGGCGAGAGCGAGGGGTCTCGCCAAGCCGCCGCGGACACGGACAGCATTCCCGTCGACTTGGTCATAGTCAACAATGCCATTATCTTGGGAAACATCACCATGAATTTGTGATTACTCTCGAAAAGCGCAGCTGGCCATTTGGACTCACGCGCTTGTGTGTGTGTGTGTCGTAATCTTCAACACGTCAACCCAAGAGGCAGTGGTCAACACGGCAGCCCCATACAGATTTTGAACCTGTGGAGGTCATAATAAAACAGTTTATCTCCTCGAGAAAACCCCATTGAATGGCAACTTTTTTTTTGTAATGCGTGTTTAGTACGTGCACCTCCGATTAGCACGGTTGGCTACGTATGGTACGAAAGAAGTTCAACATACGTGCATACAAGAAATCGGAATAAACGGAGAAAACGCATGCATATGAGGGGATATCACCGAAAGCTCCACGCAGATGGATTCGATCCACTGCTGTACTCTCACCTCCTAATGACCTAATGCCCGATTCACAAATACGATGTAGGCACCATCACTAAGCGATACATTCCATGACGCTGGTTGGGTATCTGAGCAACGTACTGGGCAGACTCCAGCTTGTTCAGAATGCGGCAGCTAGAGTGCTCACACCACGCACGCCATTCCGTGAGCAGATCACAGCGCTCCTCTTATCTCTCCATTACGCTATTCCATCAAGGTCCTGCAGATCTTCTGGTCTCCACCTGCTCAGCACTCCCAAGGTCGAGGTTGTTCTTATTTGGTGATCGCGGCTTTTGTTTGCGTGGGCACCCAAGCCATGGAAAGCATTGCCACTTGATGTCAGGCAGAGTCGATGGGGTATATTGAAGTCTGCTTTGTAAACCCATCTCTATCTTTTAAGTGGCCTTCCGTCTTCAGTTTGGTCGGTTTGCCCTGGTTCTGTTTTTGTTTCCTGCTTTTCATACATTCCGCATTGGGATCACGGGATTGAATGCGCATTATAAATTATAATTATTCTTATTGCCCCTGATGGCTCGTCCACTTCAACGTAAAATCACAGTTGTCGCTCTGCGTCAACGTCAGCCGTGCGAGGAAGAATACTCCCTCGTCATTGACACCCAAGCTGACCAACACCGTCCATTGACAAGCAGCTCACCCACCCTCCCAGGCACTCACCACCGTCAACCTGCGTGGCTTCTATATGCACGATTTAGTCCATCGTATGCTGTGCCTTTTAACGAGCAGCCCCTCCATCTCTCATTGGTCAAAGTGTGGCAGTATATAACAGTATATAACAGTATTTAACAGTATATAACAGTATGTAACAGTATGTAACAGTATACAACAGTATACAACAGTACATAACAGCATAAACAGGATACAACAGTACACAACAGTCGTCTACTATATACATTTTATTTTTAAGTTCGCAGTATTATTGACGAATGTGTTGCGTTTTTCGTGTGATTAAAAATAACTAACTCAAAGGGATCTCAGAAGTAGTTACGTGATATATCCTTCAACGGGCCTTTCCACAACCCATGGGGTGATGTTCTGCTCTGGAAGAGTTCCAAATAGACACTGTGTCTAATAACATGACGCCGATGGTACATTTGGAATAACATTTATAAATGTATCAAAACAAAATATGGAGAAATATACAAAGTAAGCTCAATTTTTACTGGTCTTAAAATTATAGCAAAACATTAATGGGCTATACAGTGAGGGAAAAAAGCATTTGATCCCTTGCTTATTTTGTACGTTTGCCCACTGACAAAGAAATGATCAGTCTATCATTTTAATGGTAGGTTTATTTGAACAGTGAGAGACAGAATAACGACAAAAAAATCCAGAAAAACGCATGTCAAAAATGTTATAAATGTATTTGCATTTTAATGAGGGAAATAAGTATTTGACCCCTCTGCAAAACATGACTTAGTACTTGGTGGCAAAACCCTTGTTGGCAATCACAGAGGTCAGACGTTTCTTGTAGTTGGCCACCAGATTTGCACACATCTCAGGAGGGTTTTGTCCCACTCCTCTTTGCAGATCTTCTCCAAGTCATTAAGGTTTCGAGGCTGACGTTTGGCAACTCTAAACTTCAGCTCCCTCCACAGATTTTCTATGGGATTAAGGTCTGGAGACTGGCTAGGCCACTCCAGGACCTTAATGTGCTTCTTCTTGAGCCACTGCTTTGTTGCCTTGGCCGTGTGTTTTGGGTCATTGTCGTGCTGGAATACCCATCCACGACCCATTTTCAATGCCCTGGCTGAGGGAAGGAGGTTCTCACCCAAGATTTGACGGTACATGGCCCCGTCCATTGTCCCTTTGATGCGGTGAAGTTGTCCTGTCCCTTTAGCAGAAAAACACCCCCAAAGCATAATGTTTCCACCTCCATATTTGACGGTGGGGATGGTGTTCTTGGGGTCATAGGCAGCATTCCTCCTTCAAACACGGCGAGTTGAGTTGATGCCAAAGAGCTCCATTTTGGCCTCATCCGACCACAACACTTTCACCCAGTTGTCCTCTGAATCATTCAGATGTTCATTGGCAAACTTCAGACGGGCATGTATATGTGCTTTCTTGAGCAGGGGGACCTTGCGGGCGCTGCAGGATTTCAGTCTTCACGGCGTAGTATGTAACCAATTGTTTTCTTGGTGACTATGGTCCCAGCTGCGTTGAGATCATTGACAAGATCCTCCCGTGTAGTTCTGGGCTGATTCATCACCGTTCTCATGATCATTGCAACTCCACGAGGTGAGATCTTGCATGCAGCCCCAGGCCGAGGGAGATTGACAGTTATTTTGTGTTTCTTCCATTTGCGAATAATCGCACCAACTGTTGTCACCTTCTCACCAAGCTGCTTGGCAATGGTCTTGTAGCCCATTCCAGCCTTGTGTAGATCTACAATCTTGTCCCTAACATCCTTGGAGAGCTATTTGGTCTTGGCAATGGTGGAGCGTTTGGAATCTGATTGATTGCTTCTGTGAACAGGTGTCTTTTATACAGGTGTAGTGGATTAACACGCGCATACAGGGGGGGAATGGTAAAGACGCGCGAGTTATGGACAGTGGGGTTATGTCGGGCCGACCAGGTGTGGCGGCAGGGAACTGTGCGGTAATGACGGGCCAATTAAGTCAGGGAGCGATGTACGGCTGTGATTGGCTGGGATTGTTGTCAAGGACGAGGTGGCGTAGGAATGTCTGGGAATAGAGGGGGGCAAGTAACAGGTGCGGGGGGACGCGGGGCGTCGGTGGCACGCGGTCTAATTAATTGGTGGGTAATGAGAACGGGGATATATTCGGCAGACGGGAAGCACGAGGGGAGTTGTGGTTGGGACTGGAACGACGCAGGTGTGAGAGAAACGGGGAGAAGACATAGGAGACAGAACAGCTAGCAGTGGAGCAGAGACAAGCAGTGACTGGGAGGAGCAGAGACAAGTAGAGACAAGGAGTGAATGAGAGGAGCAGAGACAAGGAGTGACTGGGAGGAGCAGAGACAAGCAGAGACAAGGAGCGACTGAGAGTGATAGAGAGAGGCAGAGACAGAGTGAGACAGAGAGAGACATAGGTACGGATAGGGTATGGAGAGAGACAGGGAGAGATAAACAGAGTGAGACAGAGAGACAGAGGGATACAGCGAGAGACATAGGCACAGAGAGAGTATAGAGAGAGACAAAGAGAGAGAGAGATAGATGGAGTGAGACCGAGAGACGGGGAGAGACAGAAACAGCGAGCGACGGGGAGAGACAGAGACAGCGAGCGACGGGGAGAGACAGAGACAGCGAGTGACGGAGAGAGGGACAGAGACAGCGAGCGACAGACAGACAGCGAGTGACGGAGAGAGACACCGTGGGAGACAAAGGAGGAAGCGGAGCGAGCGAGACGGGCGGAGCGCGGCGAGTGAGCTGCGGCAAACAGAGGAACTGTGAAGTTATAGACGGAATGTGGAAAGATGTAATAAAAGTGGTGTCGGAGAAAAGAATGAAGTTGTCCGCGTGAAGTCGACCACTACACAGGTAACAAGCTGAGATTAGGAGCACTCCCTTGAAGAGTTTGCTCCTAATCTCAGCTCGTTACCTGTATAAAAGACACCTGGGAGCCAGAAATATTTCTGATTGAGAGGGGGTCAAATACTTATTTCCCTCATTAAAATACAAATCAATTTATAACATTTTTGACATGCGTTTTTCTGTGTTTTGTTGTTGTTATTCTGTCTCTCACTGTTCAAATAAACCTACCATCAAAACTATAGACTGATCATTTCTTTGTCAGTGGGCAAACGTACAAAATCAGCAGGGGATCAAATACTTTTTTCCCCTCGCTGTACATCGATAGCTCTACACTATAGCATTACAGAATAACTCTTCCTCATTAGCTTTGTCAAGGTTGTGTGTGTGTGTATATATATATTTCTGGAGGACAGAAAAAGCGCTTCAAAGACCACAGCAAGGACCTGCTGAAGAGATGCAACATCAATCCCTCCAGCCTGGAAACGCTGGCGCTGGACATGTCCAGAAGGGGTTCAGCTCCAGGAAGACCACCGACTCACGGAGGACATGCGAGAGACGCACTCCCGGAGACAACAACGCGCAGCTGGGATAACGCCATCCGACAACACGCCGCGTGTGTCCCAGCTGCAGCAGCAGAAAGTGCGGCTCTCGCATCGCCCTCCAAGGCCACACGAGGAGGCAACCATCGCCAAAAGCGCTGACCCATCGGCAGGAGGAGCAACGTCATCATTCGATGAACTGCCAAGAAGAGAATGAGAAGGGGGTGGAGATATAGCAGAGGTCAAAATAGAACGTTGTGAGTTCCAAAACTGGGCTTGGGGTCAACTAAGCCAGACTTTTCGATTTAAAGCTTTCGTGACTGCAAGGATTCATCTTCTTTGGTTCTTTCGGTAAAGTCACGTAGAATGAGAATAAAATAATAAATTGATAAAATAAAATAACACAATAATATTCTGTTGTGGCCGAAACGTCGTGAGAATATTATTGTGTTATTTTATTTTATCAATTTATTATTTTATTCTCATTCTACGTGACTTTACCGAAAGAACCAAAGAAGATAAGCCAGACTTCCTTACGGCGCACGAAAAAGGCCACCGCATGATGGTAAATCGGCGGTGGGTGTCCTATGGATGGAGTGGCGATTGCCATAGGAATGTGGAGTTTCCACCAATGGTTTACGTTCGCCAATGGAGATGAGTTATATGCCTTGTTGGTTTGAAACGTTTCAATTTTTATTTTATTTACCGAGTAAGGCCCACTGAGCTATGTAGCTCTTTTTCAGAAGCGACTTTGCTATCACAAATGATAGCTCAACGAAGTGGCCCATCATGTGTCCATGCATATCAACCAAATACTCTGGACGCACGTTGATTCTAAATGTGCAGGGAAAAACCGGAGGACCGGGAGAAAAATCCACGTGACGACGGGATGGAGAGACACGCAGACTCCAAATATACAGCAGCAGGCGTCAGGGTCTGAATCGAACCCACGATATCCTGAATACCAGGCGAGGTAATTAACTTCTCACCACCGTGGCGCCCAAAGTTCAGCTTGTGTGTTTGCAAGTCTGCACTCGAAGTGTGTTATGTATTTCCTAATTGTCATTAGCGCGCCCGCACACATCGCTGTGATTGTGGTTGCTATCAGCAAAGATCCCCCGGATAGCTTCAACGGAATTGTGGGCAAGTGCTGTTAGAGAGCAGCACCTATGAAGGCCGGCACGGCACACGAGCGATAAGTGAACAGCACCACGTCCGACCGCCTTTGTCTCCTGAGTGGCGATGTTTACACATCGCACCAGGTACTCATTTCAAGGCTGAGTCGACCTAGGGGAGGCCCAGGACCGGTTCACATAATCGTCACCGGTGTTGGCCGTGAACGGGAATAGAACTCGTTTGGCCGGGTTTGTAGTGCAGAGCACTAACCGTTTCAACTACTGCTCACCAGCAGAGGGCAGAGTGGCAGCTGCATTTGGGAATGTTATTCTGAAGAGCCCATTGCCATCACTCCAGGCTTATTGCAATGCAACCATTAGGCGCTGTCAAACACAGGCTGACTATCAGTGGTCAGCTGGCGAATAAAGCTCATAATGTCAGAGGCACCGAGCCAAACACTCATATATGAAATTGACTAAACATCTCCCGAAAAAAAATTATATTTGCACTTAGGAACGATTTTGTAGGATTTTTTTAATTATAATTATTACAGTGGAGTGGTGAGCGAATGCCACT